CTATTATCACTCCGGAAGGAAACTTACTTTCGATTGGCGGCCATGAGCAAACATGTTTCAAAGAACCGGCAATTCGGCTTCCACACGCTGGATGAACGAAATTTCATGCACACCTAAGACGCCGGGAATGATCATGTCCCTGTCATCTCTTAGGTGGCGAAATAGATTTACTCCATCCACAGTATGAAAGACACCTTCATCAGCACCCTGGTATGCAAGCTCGCCACAGTTTGCCCAATGTCACACTAGAATCCTTCCAACTGATTCTTACTTCCCGAGTGGATGGCCCAAACAACGTCTGAGCTTTTGGCTTGCCATCAAACTGGTCTTGCCAACAAGTATAAAGTGCATGAACGCAGGAGTCCTCAACATCCCTCAACCACCAGCCACAAGTTGGAAACTTATGATTGTCGCCACAAGGTAACGTTTGAAACCGCCAGAAGGGAGACTTTGGCGAACCCTTTTTACTCAAGAGAAATTCCGGGTAGCCAGGGAAGAACCTCGCAAGACGGCTACCCACCTGTCTGTACTTGAGCATTCCTCGGAATTAAGAACACGCACACAACACACAGCATGGAGATATGATTGTGTGCCACACGGGCACAAAACGAACACACGCACACAGACCCAAAGGCACGCAAACACAAATCAGTCAAGCAGAAACGTGCACAATCAGACTGACAGGAAAACAAAGAGACAGAATCGAACAGACCGACAAACGACCGACGTACTCGCAATGGATCCATGGCAATTGCTAATAGTGCGTGAACACGAAAGGGGAAACTGTTTGCAAAAGACATTTCTTTGAAAGGGCCGAGCCCTGTTGTCAAGCTCTTCCAGCTAAAAGCAAACACTCCGCCCACCCCACCCCGCACACCACTCTTGGCGCACCGGAAAGTACTGTCTGCGCTTTGCCACAGCAACTGAGGCAGCGCTCGTCCACGTTAATCACGGTCTGTCGCCGATGGGTATAGATTCAAATTCGGGACGGTTTGTTGGACATCATGCCGTTGTTTTTGCACCAATCATTTCGAACAGCCAGATGTGATCCAAAGAGGCTCTCTGGGGGTTTCTCATGTCATTTTGGGGATCTTTATCTGCATGAGGGTTGCTTTCCATCTGTAATGAACAGGAACTCGCTTTTTCGAGACATGCCCTCTTTGTTGATCACCCAGACCTCCGTCCTCAAAGAAACTCCCATATTTGGTTGCCATGAGACACTGTGCGTGGGGAGCAAGAAAGGAGACCAGAAGATGAACTGGAAGACGGTTGCTACTAGGTTTTGGGAGAATTGTGAAGCATCTAGAAATAGTCAATGCCGGTTATACAATTATGCCCTCTCCAAATGTATGGACACTGACCTTCGCACTCACGCAGTTGCTCCAATGAGTCCGACTAACCGGTACTGTGGACATCATTTCGTAGCAACTCTGATTTGCCTCGGACCTGCGCCCGACAAAGAAATTTGGGCCCGACCACTGACAACTACCAAAGTGGGGGTTGTCGGTAGCTTGTTCAATGGCTTTCCCGAGATAAGGCCACTGGTAAACCCGGAAGGCCAAGGGATCTCCCGAATTTCTGCCTTGGAAATGCCGCTTGAGTTCCAGTATTCTCATGGTGGCGCCAACTGATCTGAGCAAGGCCAGGCGTTCAAGCTTCTGCACCGTGGTTTTCCCTGTTCCTGCACTCTGGGCTTTGCCCTTCACCCACATGGAGTCCTTCTGGCGCGGATTTCGGCTGGGAACCCACCAAGGGAGACCTGTTGGTGCCTTCAATTCAGAGCTGTGGATGTCCAGAAGGTCAGAGGGGGCACCCTGGGCTGATTTTGAAGGGAACCCGCCGGGCAGCACAGAAGGGCTGGGTGGCAACATCGATTTACTTGGGACTTGTTCAGAGTCCTTCGAATTGGTGGTTGGGATTGGCGGTTTGGTCCTCTCTAAGAATGAGGGGTTCAAATCCCCAACCCACCAATCTAAACCACCAACCTGACGGGCTACCTGCCTTGTTGCGGCCGTAGAAAAACCAACGGCAGTTCATGTTAACTTGGGATTAATCCGGAGGACCCCACCAGTCAGCGGAACCCCCGAAAATCGATCCTTCCCTTGCTAGAAGGGAACTCTTGATTAGTGCGGTCCGGATCAATCCGAGGTTGACATTGTGGAACCCAGAGGAAGTGCCCTTAGTTTCATGAGTTGCGTTACACACCCCTTGTGTAAGAAAGTCTCAACCCGGCTCGGCAAGACTTCAAGTGCTTCGAGCCTTGCCTCACCGGGCGGCGTGGCCGCACCTTTCCTTCCCTTGCCTCCTTGCGAGGAGGTCTTGCGGCGCCGAAAACCACATCTTGGGCCACAACAAATGCTCAAACACGGTGCCAGTGCCAGCCAACGTGGGCATCTCAGCTCTTTGTGCTTGGCTGCTGTTGACCCCTCTCCAAAAAGTTGAAAACGCTTTGCTGCTTCCCAAAAAGTTAAAGTCCAAAGCTCCAACCAAATAGCCATGAAGTGTGGTCAGTTCTGTCGCGTTCTTGATTTGCTCTCTCCGGCGAGACTTCAACGAGCAACCCGGACAGCCGTGCAACCAGCCGCTTCACTCAAAACACCAACCCAAATCCAGAATCAAAAAGCCCTAAGTTCAAGCATGGGAAGGAACCTACATCATGGGCGTTGAGCTCGTTTAAACGCGTCCGGTAGCCTTCCTCAAGAGGTGGTACAACGGGGACCCCACTTCTTTGAACCTCAACTTGTCTCTTGGGCCCAGAAAGATCGAAAGGTTGCCAAACAACAGGCGAGGTACACTCACAACCGATCGGCATCATGGTCTACCCACCACGTAAACAATGAGAAAGGCGACGAAGGCACCCATGGCTCGGACTCTCACTTAAGCTTCTTCTACCCACCCAAAGGAAAAGACAAGGCTTCAAGAAAAAGCCGGCTCCTCGCGCTTTCTCGGAGCTGGGTTCCTCCTGGCAGTTACGCCACTGAGCCACCCGCCAAGTTGTAAGTCGGAACTTGACACATTTCCCCCTGCCACAAGCGGGTGGAGCGGTTGCCCAATTTCACGTATGTAGTTTTCCCCATGCCCATTGGATTGAGAATCGGAGCAACGGAACTCGCAAAGTCACCTTCCTTTCCCAATGACATTCAGTGGGTTGGATCTCGGAACAGCCCCAGGAAAGAAGCCCTGTGTTCAAGCAGTTCTCGATGCAAATTTTCAGAACGGCATCGTTGCATCGGACTGAAGGATGGACATCTGAAAATGCCGTGCTCCCAGGAATTTCCCGAATCGACGCAACTTGTTTCTGGAGAAAGCAGGCAGCATGATACAGCATTCGTGTGACAAAACTCCTGGCGACAGGCTATCATAGTACATGGCCAAAGGAAAACAACATCAGTTTCGATTCTTTGCTGTGCAAATGTCCAATCGCGCGGGCCCTTTCAGCTGGGCCTCCACAGTTGACATTTCATGGCCGCCCATCGGCAACGAGTTCCCAAGGCAACTACTTACTTGAGAGTCAAGTCGCAACTAGTAGCTGACCTTCATCAGGAAAAGCTCGCTTTTCCCCGCAGCTCGCTATTATTTGCGCATCGTGACCATGTGCATCCGCAATCCTGCGCAAGGCTCACCCTGCTCACTCCTTGTAGCCCATCAAGGCAATCTTTGCGCGGTCTTGGTCGTCTTGCATGTCGAGCCTAGCGCTGTGCCGCGCAACAGTGCCTTTTGAGTCCCTCTTTGGGGGAAACAAAAACACGCCTTGCAAACGTCCCTTTGTTCTCATAAGGGTCAACATGCAAACTCTGACTTGGTTGCACAAGAACTTGCCATGCGCAGGTGAAGTTTGAATGTGCCTGCCTTCCCGGCACTTGCCATTCGCTGAATGTTGATTTAGACAGGTCAAGAGCTATAGCAACATCACGTCTTGAGCTGAATACATTCCGCGTGTGAAATTACTCCCTGAGTGTTGAACATACGTCAAGTGTGCGACATGCCCCCATGATGCCCTCCCGTGTGTCAGCATCTACAACAGACTACTGTCCTTGGGAAATACATTAATCTCATAGACAATGATGAGCTCTGACCAAATTGGCGCTCAACATGATGGACCCTTCTAGGTGGTTGCGCTTGCCCTTTCAAACCATCGAACAGGAAGACCCAAATGCTTCGAGCACGCCGGGACCCGCACGCCGATGCAGCTCGTTCGCATTGAACCTAAGGCAGTCGACCGCAGCGCAGTGGTAGCTAGGCACGAGGAATCGGCGAAAGCGCCATATTCAGGATCTCTTTTCTTGGTTGACGTTGGAAGGGGAGCAAAATCTAAATTTTAGCAGTCAAGTGGGGATTTCAACCACTAAACTACAATAAGCAAAAATGTAGAATGTTTCCCAACAACAACCATTTCTTGGCCCAACTTTCGGAGGTCGACGGGTTTTCGTAGGTCCAGCTGACCAAAGAAAACCTGCTCATAGCTGTGATTGAGTCCGAGGTGATTTGAACCTATTCAACAAGTCTCATTTAGCTTTGCGCATCGCAGGCAAAGCGGCGGAGCGGCGGGAACATCAATGACGTTCACATACGCAAACTAGTCTACACATTAGATTTAACATGTTGAACATATCACGACACATGACTCATGACCGTTATCTGAATCATATTGTGGATTGTACAATTTGCATCTGAACCAATAACATCTAATAAATGTGTGTGCCAACTATGACTTGAAACCATCATGATTTTCGAATAATTGGAATTAGAGTTTTCACCTACATGATTTGACAAAGAAATATATTATATTCGTCCTATGTGTTCACAATAACTATACCTTGAAACAAGTGCTTCAAATCATTTAATATTGCCTATTGCCTATTACATACGTGTGTAGAACGCGCGGATGGCGCAGCAATCGCTCTCTTTTCCTAAAGCTCAAGGGCCCTGTCGCACGAGCCCAAATGTTATGGGGTTCGGCTTCAACATGCGTGGCAGGCAAGGGCATCATGCATGTGGTTTCACATCCTTCGGGGGGGCTCCTTGTCCTGCAACTCATGGAAGCCTGACTGGCTTAGCGCGTATTGCGCCAAACGCAAAATTCGCCGCATCAGCTGGCTGTTCCCACATCGCTTCGTGAGCGGGTCAGCGATCATGTGCTCGCCCGGAACCCAGTGTGTTGTCACTCTGAGTGTCCGTGCGCTGATGCAAATGACACTCACATCAATCTGGGCCCGCCGGCAGTGCCCAGCGTTGCCACTCCTACGCTCTAGCAAATCAAACAGCGCCTTGGCATCTGTCACATGAATGCTCTCAGAGTTGTCCGTCTGCCTGACCGCAAGCACCGACTCATTGTCCCCGAACCTCGTGCCGTCCAAGATGCAACTGGCCGGGTCCAGGATCTCGCACCAAAGTGCCCGAATCCACTCCAGCTCCGCCAGAGCGTCATCCATAGCCAAGGCCTCACTTCCAAGTGTCGCCTTGACCACCCTCTTCAGGCGGTCACTCCGCCAGGAATTGATGCTGAAAGCCGCTGCCTTGCCCGTCTTGATGTCCCTGTGTGCCAGTGCCAGTACGAAGCCACCCTGCGACTTGTTCTCCACATTGGCCATCGAAGCGTCCGCCACACTCATCCAAATTGCTTCATGAGGATCCAGAGGAAGGATCCGAAGTTCCACCTCCGCTGTGGCCTTGATCTCCTTCACCGTCTTGTTGGCCAGCAGGATGCGCTCCACCGTTGGCCCGGGTGGGCTCCAGCTCATCGCCATGGCGCATGCCCCTGCGATGTCTGGCCTGCCCTCCTTGCCAACCCATAGAAGAGCTCCGCCAACTCCACGTAGCCAGCGAATCTCTTTCTCACTCAGCAAACTGTCCTTCTCCTTGATGCGGTTCTTTTCCAACTCCACCGGCTTGAGCTTCTCCTGGATGTAGCGCTTCATGCTCACTCTTATCTCAAAGTCTTCAGACTGACTCAGGGTCCGCCCGATGTAGTCCGCCGAGCTCAGACCTCCTTCCACTTGCCGAACTTGAGGCGCTGCCGCAGTTCTCCCATGCGCTCATGATGTCGATTGTTGCCTCCCTGACAGAAGTCATCGACATCCAATAATACGACTCCGGCAACTCCCAGCTTCTGTCCGCTTGCTTTCTCTCCCTTCTCCATCTTCAGGTACTAGAGACACGGGTCGAAGACCGACTCTGTGTATTGTAATTCCAGCAAATGCCTCCTGACTGTCTTCCGCCACACCGCCGGTGCATTCACAAGCCCATAGACCGCGGTGATAACCTCCACCAATGCCCATGAAGGTCTCCCCGGTATGCCTGTTGGTGGCATCGTTGCGTAAAGCGGTCCCTGCTCTCGCTCCTGCGGGTCTGACTGTCCAAATGCCGAGGACACGTCCATGATGTAGAGCTTGTACTTGCAGCTAGCGCTGGTCTGAAGGCACAACATCACCGTGGTCGATGATGGGGTTGGTGCATAACGTTCCAGTTGGGCCGCGTCAGGATCTCGGTGCCCAAGTAGAATCCATCTCGCCTTTGCTTTCCAATCTTCTCCGACTTCTCCCGCTTTCTTGGTCAGCAGGAATCGGGATGGCATGATCCGGCTGGGAAAATCCCTTCGGATCTTGTCCAACTCTTTCTCATCCTTGATGATGCGGATGGCGTTACTGCCCTCCAGGTTTCCGATCTCCACCTAGTTGGCCGCATCGAAGCGGATCTTCTCCTTGTCGGTCAGCCGCTTATAGTCCAGCTCCTTCCCACTCTGCTTGGTGAGATAGGCCAAGTGTTTGTGGATGTCTCTCTCGTTGTAGAGGGTGTCCGAGGTCCTCGCCTTGTGGAAGGTCAGCAGGTCTCTCTCATTCGCAACGATGGGGAAGTTGGACTTGTTTCCCCACGCCGTCTGGTCATCTGCTCGCCAAACAACAAAGATCTTCGTTCTGGTCGTAGTTCTACTTGCTTGCTGGTTCTCCTCCAGGCTTCTCTTCATGCCTGTCTCTACCAGCCTCGCATCCTCCTCATCCATCTTGCTCGGCTTGTCTTTGCCGCTCTGCATTCCTCCAGGGGGTTCACCCACAATCTCTCGTCCAGGATCTGGATGATCGACCACTCGTCGGTAGACCAAAGTTGTTTCGATGTGTTCACTCCTTGTGGTAGTGGTCGATACAGGCTCTTCGCAGTCTGGCCGGCATCGATCGTCTCATCTGCTACCACTCTCTCGTTGATGATGTCCCGAGTGACTCGTCTCACCACATCCTCCCACAGCGGTCCATGTGAATTGGAGGTCCGGAACCTCTTCGCGTCCAAATCCACTCGTGACCACTCTCGTAGCTCAGCTGCAGATTGTTGTGCTGGTAGGGCGTTCTCCACCACCGATCTCCATAGCTCGTCCGCTGCCGTTTTCTTGCCGCGTATGGTTGTCGAGGACGATGAAGGCTCGTTGCCCTCCATGCTCTCCAGTTGAAGGCGCAGCATTGGCAGGTACCGGTGTGGAAGGTGCCGGTGTTGGCGTCCGTGGTGCGGGTGTCGAAGGATTGGGTGTTCTCAATCCTTCGGGGGGTGCTCGAGGCGTTCGAGGTGTCTTCCGCTGGATTTATTCCTCATCTGGCTGTTCATCCGGCACCTGTGGTTCCACACCAGGTCCTTCTTCACCAGGTTCTCCTTCTGCTTCTTCGGCAGGTAGTCCTTCTCGAGTCACATCGATGCAACCCAGGCGTTGGTAGTTCAGCTTCTCCTTGGCCCGAAGTACATCAAGTGGAATGACTTCCAGGCCTTGCTTCTCGAGGTTGCCCATGGGAAACACCTGCGCCTTGTTGCACTTCCATAGTTCTCCCCTCTTGGTGATCCACACGGTGTCACCCTTTTGCAGCACCACGAAACATGGTCCGACCTTGGCCTGCGAACCACGTTTACCTTTTCTCCAAACATAAACCGGATCTCCATCCTGGAAAACATGCGCTTCTCAATTGTAGTCGCTCATGGCTGTCGAGGTCCACCAAGGCTTTCCGGGCTGCAGCTCTAATCTCCTCTGCTTTCTTCCAGGACTGATCCATGCTCTGCGTCTGCTCAAACTCCCCGTGATCGTTGGTCAGCTCCATTGACATCGCGGGTTGTTTCCCAAACACTCTCTGTGCGGGTGAGTAGCCTGACCGATTGGTCATCGTCTGCAGAGCCCATGACACTGCGTGTATCATGTCTTGTACCTCCTTGAGTGACGTTGGAGGTTTCAACGCTCTCGTCTTGTAGTACACCTGCTTGAAGAGGTCTCCTCTCCTCTCCGTGGTCCCATTCTGAAAGGGTGCATCTCGAGCAATCGGAAGTGGTTGAATGCCATGTTGTTCAAGGCCTTCCTGGAAATTGGCTCCCACAAATTCATTGCCTGCACGTCTATCCCGACTACCACATTGAAGTCGTATGTCCGCGGGGTTGCGGATGGCAGTTCTGTTGGTTGCCTCTGCTCCTTCTGGCAGCCTTCGCATCGGAATTCTCGAATGACATAGTCCACCACATCTTTTCTGGTTCCAGCAGTCCCCAGAAGCCTGATGAACTCCTTCACCTGTGGGTCCCAGATTGATGTGGCACCTCATCACCGCCGCCTTCTCTGCATTGGTGATCCCTCTGGCAGATGCTTCCATGTAGCTCTCCTGCATGATCGGGTACGAGTACATCACCACGAGGTACTTGTACTTCGCCTCAAAGCGTCTCCATTTCCCAGAAACTCCACGTTCGATCTGGAGCCACTTGTTGTCCCACGGGTTCAGCGCCCATGTCCACCTCCAGGTCCTCTGTCTCGGTCCAGCGCGTGGCACCTGTTCAGGCGTTCCTCGGCAGATCAGCACAGCGTGATCCATAAACCTGAACCACCGGTGCTTCTCATTCCGATGTAGTTCTCCTGCCCACTGGAACATCTGACCTGGGCCTGGTAATTGTGGTTCTGTGGCTTGCCGGACATCAATTGCTCATGGCTCCCAGGAGCACACACACATTGCTTCTGGAGCTTTGTGGCGATTGCATCACTGCTCGTCGCAAAAAGCGTAGACTTCTTGTTGAGGCCTTGAGATCCAACTTGCAGCCCAAACCGGCAAAGAGAGTTCTTCACCAGCTTGACATTATCCTGCGCGATGAACTTCTCCACACTTGGCAAAGTCCATGAGGTCGCCGTGTCTGGGTGTTCATGAAGACCGTGATCACCTCGGTCTAGCTGATCCAGCTGTAGTTCCATGCTGAGATCCACATGGGCGATTGCCTCCAGAAGCTCCTCTTGCAGTCTCTCAGGATGTTGTCGTAGGTTTTGCAGTGGAGAGAACTTGGTGCACGGTGGGCTCGTCACCAGTAGCTTGGGTCGCCTTCGGCGAAGCTCTTTCTTCACTCTCTCCTTCGTGCTCTCATCGGTGAGGTCGTAGTTCGTTTTGAGGTCCACTGAGAGACTTGCTTGCAATCCTCTGGCTGCCGCTTCCGCCACCACTCGTGGTCCACTATAGATCTCGACAATCGCGTCCGTCCCGTTCAGGTCGAACTTGTTGTTCTGAATTTTAAGGCCACCGTAGATCTCGGCCACATCATCCAGTTGTTCTTCTTCCCACAGCGTCCAGTCGTCCACCTGGTCGCCGATCAACTCGTTCACAGCAGTCTGCAATTCCAACCTGACATTCCGCGGCATGCTTGTGAAGCCTTTCTCGGTGTCCTCATCGTTCATGTAATCGATGAACTCCTGGTCGAACTCGTAGAGGACCAAGTACTCCATGGACTTGTTCAAGTCATAGTTGTCCGCCGCGCTCCTGGCCACATCCACCAGGTTCCAGTAGTCACCTTCCCCGCACCGGGTCAAAATGAGCCTGCGGGTGATGACCGGTTGAGTGCTGATAGCGCTCCTGCCATGAACCATCTCACCATGACCGTGAACAGCAAAGGTTTTGTTCCGGTCTACCAGCTTTTCGACGTCCTGGGGAAACTTCTTGCTCTTCATTGGTTGGTTGAGTATAGCTGTGTCCGGCGTCCCCAAGGAAGAATGGAGTGTGTCTTGTTCACATCGTAGCTGCCCACATGCTTCCGGATCGATCTCTTGTCGCTCGCTGGAAAAGCGCACATGCAACCCAGGTCGGTGCACTCGTAGACCTCGTCCTCGTTCCCGTCCGGTCTGTGCAGAAGCATGTCCGACTTCTGGCACTGCGGGCATAGTACCACTCCCTGCGCTGTCTTCAGCTCGTCCAGGATTGCACTCCAGAACAGCTGGCACTTCCGCTCGGTGCACTTCCAGATGAAGTAGCTCGTCGGTTTGTGGATGTTCAGGTACAGCCTCCCTTGTTGACAGAGGTGGCAAACCTGACTCAGCACCAGAGGGTTCTCCGCGTCCGAGCCCGTCATCACGACGTAGGTCTGTCGCTGTCGTCGCTGTCCCCCACATTCTCTACCTTGACCTGCTGTGTAGGTGCCGATGAGACCACCGGGGCTCTTGCTGCTGACTTCACCGCCGTCTTGGCCGAAGCCTTCTTCTTGGCGTCCGCCGGTCCGAGCTGATAGTCGGGCTTGAGGTACACCTTGATGTCGTTCCACTGGGTCAGCTGACTCACCACTACTAGCGGCATCCTCTGCTCTTGCTTGCACTTGAGGCCCTTCTGGAAACTCCAGTACTTGTTCGCCCCATGCTGCCGCTTCTCGTGGATGCAGTTCGCGCTGTCCTCCAGCTTCGGCACCAGGTATACTTCCCATGACCCATGATCTCCGCCAGCGGTCGCATTCTCTCGCCCTCGTCCTTTGGCTTCTTGATGGTCAACGTGCTCGAACTTTGGGCTGTAGCTTGTGAGATAATCTTCTGCTCCTCCTGCTGCAGCTGCAAAGCCTGTCGCTCGAGCTGTTCTCTTCGTAGGGCTGGTCGTCGTGCTTCCCGAAGTTGTGGTCCACGGCTCACCTCCAGCAGGCCTTGCCACGCCTGCAGGGAAGCATAGTAGCAAACTCGCAGCAACAAGCGCCGCCGCCGGCCGCAGCGCACGGATTTGGCCGTCGGCATGAAATTCCTCCCCGTACTCCGGCGGGGATCCGGTTGACCAGATCTGGCTGCGGGTGCACACAAAATCAGCTGGTACATGAAATCCACGTCCAAACTCCACGATCGACACAGCAACATGTCCAGATGGCAACCGTGCCATATACATGATTTTGCAGCTCTTCATGTCGATCACGGCACCCAAGTCTGTCAAGAAGAATGCGGGGATAAGGAACGGCACGTCACCACCGACTATCTGCACCCTCAACATCCCCATTTCCCAGCCAGACCAATTGGTACATAAGCAATACCAGTATTCTCTTAAACTCCCCTGACTTTGCCACCGTCCTCCGGTGAATGCTGAACTTGCAAACCATACATCTGCTGCAATAAAGCGTCATGACGTTGCAGGGTCTTAGATCCAACCAATCCATGTTGAGCTGCGGTATCTACAAGCGCTGCCCCGGCCCCAATCTCATCCCTGGCCATGTAAACATAACTCAGCGCAGAAAACTCGCCCATATATGCTGCCTCGCTCGGGCTTGACCCATAGTTCAAAAAGGTCTCCACCGGTGTGGTTGGAGGAACCCGTCGGCCTGGTGGGTGAAGATGGGGTCTTGCTCTTGATCTCACTCAGGCTTGCACGGCTGCTTCCTTTCTTGCCTCCCTTCTGCTGCCAGGGTCGCTCAAAGCCTCGGGCATTGCGGGTCATCTGGAGCATCTTCCTGTGTTCAAGGTAGCCACCACGACCACCTCCAAACTGCGGGCTCGTCCCAACGGTGTGATTGCGAGCTCCAAACTTGCCCTTTCCTTTGCCCTTCTTGCCGTGTCCCTTGCCTTTCATGCGGTCTCTCACCTCATAGAGCGTTTTCTCCAAGTAGTTACTCACGATCTCCAAGGCTTCGTCCTCGTCCATGACCGTAGGAACCTCTCCCATGAAGATCATATGGGGTTCATCTGAAAGGTCGCCAAAGTCCAGCAGATCCTCAAAGAGGTAATCCTCGTACTCAATCTCCTCGCTGTAGTAGGTGCCCTCGGGGTAGTAACCACCCTCATAGCTCTCGTCAGGGTACTCCGCCTCGTAATCGCCATCACCAGGGCCAGACTCCCAGAATGACCGTCTCCAACGTCCTCCACCTCCAGAACCTTGTGCTTGATCATGATAGCCCACTTCATCCAGTTTATCGCCAAATATCTTCTGGATGGCCTTCTCGATTTCCTGGTAGTCGATACTTCCATCCGTTACCACTTTCAAGCGCTGCTTCTGGTCAGTGCTGAAGTTGCCTTGGCGCAAGATGAGGTGTCCGAGGAGGTGCCTTCCGGCCTTCTTCTCCAGGAGGTCCAGTCCCTGCTTCCGGAGCTCGGCAAACGCTGCCTTCTTGCTGGAGAAAAAGTTCGTGATACTCTGTCCTCGATCACGCTTACCACGAAAGATCGCCTCATCGAAGGACTGTTCCAGCCGCTGGTCCCTGAGATACTCGTGGGCCTCCTCAATGATCCGCACGATGGCCTTGTAGCCCTCAGCCGCGCAGATCTCATCCACTGATAGATGAGCCACCAGAGCACTCAGCTTGCTGCCCAGCGGGATGCCATCTATGATCCTCTTGCCGATGAGGGTCGGCGGAAGTCTGGACTCCGCTTCGATCAACCACAGCTGCAAATTCCTGTGGTACTCTTTCCAATTCTTCTCAGGCTGGTCGCCTCCCCAGCTCGGTGCTGGGTCCATCTTGTAGTCGAAGAACTTCCGGCTTTCGCTAGCTGTTGGGGTAGTCGGCCGTGACCTTGGTCGCGGGGCAACGGTTCCAGCTCCCATGCCTGCTGCTGGCAACTCCACGTCCACCGGCTCGTACTCGTCATCCGGGTCCTCGTCATCGCCACCACCGGCTGTCATGCCAGCCGCATTGCCTCCACCGCCTTGGCCTCTCCAGGGAAAGCCTGTCAGCCGTGCCCCTGTCTCCATGCTAGGACCGCAAGGTCCACTCCCTTTGTAAAGGTACTTCTCCGGGCTGCCGTAGCTGATGAGGTCCTCTGCAAGATGAAGCCACCTTAGATGAGCTTCAAAAAGATGCCGAAGACGATCAGCCGATTCAGGATGTTCTTTGTCTCCTTCTCCTCCAGCTCGTCCACCTCGCCACGGGGCGTCCCCCTCTTGAGGTAGAAGACCACTCGCGTCACCCCAGCCGTCGCCGGGGCTCCGCTACCACTGTAGAACGCGCGGATGGCGCAGCAATCGCTCTCTTTTCCTAAAGCTCAAGGGCCCTGTCGTGCGAGCCCAAATGTTATGGGGTTCGGCTTCAACATGCGTGGCAGGCAAGGGCATCATGCATGTGGTTTCACAACGTGTATTTATACATCAATTGTCTATGAAACTAGAAAGCGGACAAAGGAACAAGAAAACTCAGCCCTTTAGAATAGGTAAACGTTGAACAAAGCCAATACGTGAGGCAACCTTGCTAGGCTGAGAATACCTGTGGGCGCGCGTGTAGCTCTCTTGCCGAACACAGGTACGACACAGGGGCCTTCTTCCAAATCAAGAAAGGCCACTAAGAAAGGCCGCTAGGTCCTCCAGTAAAGAGGTTAGAATCAGGGTGCCCGATTTTTCCCTGTAGTCTATTTTAGTAGGGGAATTTTCCCCCCAAAAAGGGGTGAGAAAGGGCACGACTGGAAAACTTAGATCAGGTTGCCAGCAGTTCAGCAGACAGCTGAAGACCCCAAGCTCCCCAAGGCCCAACTCTGTGGTGTCCGCTAAAGAGCTACAAACCATCTGGCCAGAATGATCGCTTCTCTTTGGGCTTCCCGTGGCTTCGTTTCTTTGGTTGAAAGCCCAAGCTTGCGACGGCAGGCGACACAGATTTCGGTCTGAACGTGGACGCTCTACAAATCAGCTTGAGGGAGTCATTCAGCATGCTCCATGCTTCGGGGTCTACCGTCCGAAAGGGATGGTTGGGGGAAAGTCCTTCCGGAAGTCCTTCCGGAAGTCCAAGAGTAAGGAACAAAAAGCATCCAAAGACTCGCGGGGCTTCAAAGGAGGAGCACTCCTGCGATTCCTAGCCCACTTCTGCGTCAGGAAAGCTACCCTGAGGAATTGCATTATTGACAAAAATGGACAACTGACATGGCTCATGTCGTTTTGCCTGGAAAATAACCCAAAGCCACGTGTCTGGTTTGGGAAACCACTGAGTCTTGACCAGGGTCGTGGGAAAGGCTCGGCATTGAGTGGACATTGGCCAGCCTGGTGTTCGTGCCACGACATGGGCCAGCCTGGTGCAGCCTGGTGTTCATGCCAGACACGCTGGCCCAAACGAAAACAAGAGCAGATTGGAAAAGCGGACATCCGCACCTATTGGCAAAGGGCCATAGAGGCCCAAAAGAGAAAACAGCATCCAAAGAGAAACACAGAAACACAAACCACAGACGCAGACATGTCAACACAACCTGGGCAAACGCTGCAGTGGGCGGATGGGGGGGGGGGATGGAGGGACCGGGGGATGTCGGCGGCTCCCGTTTGGGGCTCCCGGCCATGGTCCAGATCACCGTGGAGAGATGCTCCAGGCTGTTGGCCACTTGCTCTGAGGACTCGTGCCTGTGGCTCGCGAACGATTTGGCCATGGGTCAAAACCCAAAGCCCGGTTATCCCCCAGTGGTTACATCCCAATCCAACCACGAAAATAGGTTCTAAAATGGGTGGTGAATTCACCCACCAACCAAAATGGGATCCCAAAACGGTTTTGACCAGCCATTTCGGCTCAGCTTGGCTCGAGCTGTCGATGGCTCGAATGGTGGGGGTGCCGTGGTTGGGGGGGGATCCAATTTCCTCAAAGGCTTTGCTTTCAAACAAAAAACACGCACAAAAAGGATGGAGTAGTAGCAGGCAGGGTTGCCGAAAAGTATGCGAATACCAAGACCTCGGCGCCAGTCGACGACGACAAGCTTGGGAACACAAGTCAGGAACTAAAGGCCCCCAACCCAAACCTGCAAAAATTGATGGCAATTTGAGCCTCAGCTGTCCGCTCGCCATAGCGGGGACTTCTGCAAGGCGAACCCCCCACAAGAAGATTGACACGGATTTCTCTGCACATTTCGCATGGAGCCCAGAAAGGGGGTCCGCACAAACCAGCTTGTTGGTTCTATGTCAACCAGGAGTGTACTCCGGCGTGTCTGGGCTGTTCCACAATCCCTGTCGTTATAAACCACTAGTGGACCACGCCGCTCTACCAAGGAAAGGATCCTGCTGTTGCCCCGAGCTATCCCTGCAAAACAAGTTACAACACAACATATATCCCTCTTTCCTCGACATAGATAAACTCTCTTCCCAGCACTTGCCAATAAAAACCTATCGTAATATGACAAAATCATAGTACTTGTGCTAATGCCAATGATGATAACGGCTGTGTGGCTTCATCTGGGGTCGTTGCATTTCCACTCAGGAGCCCCGGCACGGCTGCCAACTGCTTGGCCACAGCTTTGATTTCCACCTGACAAGACTGCAACCCTGGCAGCGGCGCCCGAAGAGCTCATGATGAACAAGGCTTCGGCCCACGGGTGGTTGAGAGGACCAAAACCTGCCGTTCTGTGTGTGTGTATTTTGCCCTAAACACCGACCAAAGGGAATTCCAAGGTATCCTCGGCCACAAAGAGTAGCCTCCCCGGTCAAAGGCGTCAGGTGAGTCGCACTCAAAACCCGGTACTAAAATGGTCGTAATCCCAGAACCATGTACAGGATTAAGAAGGCGGAATTCCGCAGATATTTATGGCAAGGGGATCGTCCCTTACTAACCTTCATCTTGAATCTCTACCTCGGCTTCAGCAAGCCGCCTCTTGGCTGTTGCGGTCACGCCGTCGCAGCTTGCCTTAGGCAATCGCCAGGGCGGACCAATCAACCCCACCCTGGCCCAAAAAACCCGCGCCCCTTTGTTTGGCCTCTGGCTTTGTTTTTCCCATGGAGGCGCCCTCGGGAGGGCACAAGTGGTCCGTAGGTTGTCTTAGCCTTACGCTCGGACATGTCCATCTGGTGCAAAGAACCGTGTCTTGTGCTCACCAGTCCACCCATCGGCAACTTCTGAGTCGGGGGTCACGTCAGCCTTGTCAAGGTTGCCCTGTGGCAAAGGAGGACGCTTGCCCCGGTCGGCGCAAGCTGGTCGGTTCCTTTCTCTGGCGAAGGCAGGCAAGCCACGGTCAATATGCATTGCGACCTCCGATGACATCACATTTGGTCCAGCAATCATCCTTTGCCCCGTGGAAACTTTTTCGGTGAAGTTGGCCCCGATATCTTGAAAACACCAAAACCACATCAGTAGCTGTGGTGCAGCCATAGCCCATGTGCCAGTCTTCACGGGACTGGGACGCAAGCCAACCTCCTCCACCTCGCAGTTCGCCTGACAATTCAAGCCATGGCTTTAATTTTGTCCTCACTCGTGCTTTGCACATACCAAATGAAGATCAGACAATACTAAATGAGAACAACTCATTGAAATAAGTCAATTTCCGCCGAACGACTTTTGTCTGCCTCCCTTTGCACAGTTTCTCTGCTTGGTCCTCGATCCGTAGAAGTCTAGCTTTCAGTGATTAGTGGAAACCAGCACTAAACCCGAAACAGCTAAAAGCTTAAGGGATGGCCGGGAACCGCCAAGAACACGGGAACCCAAAGGAAATCCTGGTCATTTCCTTCAGACCCCCTTTCTGCCCCCATTACTGCCGTACAAGAAGTTGCCTTTTGCTCTCACTGCGAAACAAATGGATCCGCCTTGCGAGCTTGAGGCGACTGCACCAGTTTTCAAATAACCCCCTTGAGGGCCCGAAACAACAAAACAGAAAGAACAAACCCAGAAGCAGAATCAAAATAAGGAACACGTCTTAGCATGAGGCAATCCGCCTGTCTCACCAGATCCTCCGTCTGCGCTTGAGACTTGCCTGGCGATGAAAGAAACGTACCTACGTGGGGTCTCAAATTGGTTGGCTATCTGGCGGTCCCATACATGAGGATTTGTTGACCCGATTTGAGCTTCCGTTGGCTCCCCGAAGAACCAAAAGCGGGGTCCTTCTGGGCCCCGCTTCACTCAAACGGGGTTGCTGTATTTGCGGAAACCCTCCAAGTAAGTGGTGCCTTTGGTTTCTCCTCAAAAAAAAAAACACGAAAAAAGGCACCCGAATAGGGACTTGTGCCCAAACATTTTTGAGGCTTCCCCGCAGTTCATAGTGCCAAAGACTTGGGGCCAAAATGGGATGCGAGGGAAGCCACAATGAAACCAACCGCGCTTGCTGTGCCATGATCAACACTCCTTCTGCGGACCATGGTCTTCTGTCACTTGACTTTGTTTATCCTTCTAGTCACCAAAAAAACCAATAAGGCCATCAGTGGCCCCAAGCTGGGTCTTTGACGGCGCATCTTCGGGACTCGCACGGCAGTCCGACATGCCAAGGCCCGCAAATGCTTTCTTCCAGAGCTCGGCGGTACTCACCTGAGTCGATTCTTTCGCGCGTGACTGCGGTTGGACCATGTTCCTTTTGGAGTGCTCCAAATGGGTACCGATGATGCCCTAAACGAAGCGCTAAAGTTTTACCACGGGTTGCTGGTTAGTTTACTTGCAGGGTTTAAGGAATGGAGGACACAATGTCGGACACAAAACACATTGTTGCAACGTCTTAATCTCTCCCGACTCCAAATACTCACCTTTCTTGGGGTATGATTCATGATGTTGACCCCTGAGTGACAAAGGAAGTCTGTACAATGGAAACCCGGGTATTTCAAGTCCTGAAACACGTTGTTACTTGGAGTAGGGGGTGTCACCTTTCTGAGCACAGCAAATCTCACTGAGGGTCGCTCGCTCCGATTGCATGAATTCGTCCACCTCCGCACAAGCTGGATGAACCACTCAGTGACTGTGGGCTTGGATTTAGGGACATTCGAAGATTGTACTCAACTTAGTCAACCATTTGCGAACCCCCCACCATTTCGGCCCCTGCCAAATTTTTGGGTAGTCATGAAAGGACAATTCCATCCCCCGCACTCACCGGGTGTCTCACCCTTCGCCGTCCGGACTTCCAAGACTCCAGGATCGTTCAGGACCCAACAAATGCAGAAATCATTTGTGTGCGAGTTCCCCAAAGCACAGGGCCGATTGAACGTCACGTCTCTTGACATGGGTAGCTCGTGCAAAGCTGTCTCCAAAACCTTTCAAACATGATTCAGGAGTGGCTCCCATGCTTTGAAGACGTGTGGATTCGAGGCCTTCTGCCGCACTTGCGCTGCTTCATGGAGCCTAAGCAGCTTCGATTCGAGCGCGGCGTTGCTTATCAAGGTCGAATCAAGGTGGCATGGAACCGAGCCTGCCAAAACATGCGGCGCTTAATATTGCAACTTGCTTCAGGGTCCAGCCTAATATGGCATTGTTGGTTTCCTCAACAACACTATCCACTAGAAATCATCACGTCCAACTTTCCTTTAGGCACCCCACTGAGGCAAATTAAGAGTCGAGTATTTCAGCAGTCTATCCAAAACCATGGAAATCACATCGGTTGGCTCAAATGCATTTGTCAAGGTAGAGACTCCATTTTTGGACAGACCAAAGCTTTCAGGGAAACTTGTAACTCGGTAGATGTTTTTGACCATGAACCCTACTATCGAACATGGCTGAGGGCAACCAAAAGGAAAGCGCAGCTTGGATACCTCGGCACCTGGCGTGCAACCTCTGAGCTCGACACTCCTCTTGATACGCCTCTCGCACCTTAGCCGCAAAAAAACTCACCATGAAACCGAGTCAGAGTTCTGGCCTTGACCGTCTTCACGGGACCCTCTGGTTCCGGGTGAGACAGGAGTGTATTTAAGCTACGCTCTCTCGCAGATATGAAACGGATCAACAAACACGTTCTTGGAGGCTCTTTTTGAGGGACCCCTTGTTTTTTAACTCTATGTTAATTTACAGGGAGTGTTTGGACATAGCGGTTGCACACATTTAGCCCTACGAAAGTGGATGCCCATCCCCGAACATCGTTTTCGAGTGAACCAAAACACATTTTCCCCAAGCAAAGTTTGCAGGTAGCGGCTGAACCACCTCCCAGCTTTTCGGGAAAAACCGGGCGTCAAGATCCTCCCCTTCCTGCGTCATTTGGGATGCCCCGGTGGCCCCTCGCGCCCCTCGCGCCCCGCAGGCCTCCTGCAGCATGGCGGCGTTGTGGGCCGCGACGGTGTTGGTGGCGGTCTTGAAGTGCTCCTTCATGTCGCTCATCATCCTGACTTGACTCGACAGCAGAAAAATCCAGGTGAGCGGCCGGCAATTTTACAATTACATCCGGGCGGTTGAGTGACCGACATTGTTGTTTTTGGTAGGTACGTACATCGTTTTACATGTTTTGGGCTAGGTCCTCCAGATTGGAGAGGTTCGAATAAGGGTACCCGATTGTTTGTTCTGTTTCGTCTCTCCCCCAAAAAAGGGGAGAGAAGGGCACTACTGGAGGACCTAGCTAGGTAGCAGGCAAGCAACCAGCCAACCAGCCAACCAACCAACGCAAGAAGGATCCAATGGCTATTTGTCGGTTCCACCTGACTCCTGATATGTGGATGGAGAAGTTGAGATGAAGCCCCATGGTTGCTACACCAGCTGAAGGATTTCGTGCACAGCTTCAGCATGGATCCAGTGGCCATAAGCTTTTGTGTCACCCATTGGGAATGATCATTTCTTGATGCGAGGCGAGCAACTGCGTCGTTTCCAAATGCAAAGCCCAGTTCGGCGCCATCTCTCTTTCTTGTTTTCACGAAGAAAGGCCCCCCCCCCTCTTCTCCACAAAACTGGAACTGTCCGTGGTATTCCTGCGCCCAACGCGCCGGCTGGGTGTGTGCGGCCTTGGTTGGGCAAATATAAATTAGAACCCCTCATGCAGAAAGCCAACAAAAAGAACGTGGGTCTGCAAACTTAGAGAGGATTGACACGCTCAACTTGGAAAAGCCCCCCTAAACGGAGGCTCAGTAAACGTATTTCACTCTGGGTAAGGTTCGTGAAACGCGACATGGAAGGAACCCCTGTTTAGGATTCCGGTTCTTGAGGGCTCTAGCCAACTAGGAGGCAATTGGAAGATCTCAACCAAACGCTATGCTGGATGTGACTGCGTCCGTCGACATACCAGGGGACTTGGTACATAGGCAGGCACTGAGAAATGGAATCAACCCGAGAAAAACCATCCCCGAATTGGTGTCCTTTAAGGAAATCCCCAAAACCGGTAAATTCCACCAACGCCCGGAGGAAAGTCATTCCCTATCGCACAAGCAAGTAATGATCCATGACTCAGCTCTGCAAGAAAGCAAAGCTACCGGTGGCCAGGTGGTCCTGTCAACTGTCTGCTGCAAGGCTGTGACATTGTTGTTGGTCTCCAGGGTGAAGTTGTTCACCTACACAGAGACATCATGAAAACCGATCGGTCAATTAACATGCTCGGGACCTGCCATGCTTCAAGAGCGAAAAGGCGGCGAAGGCATCAATTTATAGTTGGGATCAGCCCTTACCAACCTTCATCTACCCGAATTGGTTTTGAGCAAGTGGCTCATCGGAGTGCACTCGGAGTGCCAGGATGATGCGATCCGTTCACTAGTGGGATATTGAGAAGAAGTGATCAACGAGCACACACGGCACCAAAGGGGATAAGAACATGTGGAAGCCACCAAAAGAACATCCACCAGTTTTTCTAGAACCAACGAGAGCAGCACGTGGCGGCAAAATCAAACAACCTTTGCTCACACTGGTCACCCCCGTCTTGCTGCAGGCTTTTGCCCCCACCTTCCCAGCACTGCAACATGCGAGTTTGGGAATGCGTCAACACACCGGACCCCTCCAAACTCCTTTGCCTTGAAGATATATTCAACGCGGCGTACGGGAGGTGACACCTTCTCAACAGAGCAGTCCGCAGTCCGAGAGCCGCGGCCTCCTCCTGAACCATTTGAAGCTGCGCGATGCTTGCCTGAGGCGATGTCAGACTGCTTAGGCGATGCCCGGCGGGCATCCGAAAATTGACATGCCTCCAATGGTAATTCAAATGCAGCTTGGATTCGATACATCGTCTTCAAACATTCTTATTCAGCGCTGGCTGTGTTGCTGTCAAGCATGGTGAATCTATGCGTCAATGTCTGAATCAAAGTGCTTTTCTGCCAGGCACAGCATGCCCCAAAATTGTCTCACACGTGAGGCGCATTCGATCTTCAGCAAAGCACATGCCATCTCTGGCAATACGTCGTTCGGGCTCCCTGTTGGACTCAAGGTCACCGGTTGTTCTGGCAGCAACCCACCCCAGGGGTTGGTTGCCCATGTTTGTGGTCCCATTTTTATATATATATATATATGGGTTGGAGAAAATGGACCGATTCCTCAATTCACTTCGACCCATTTGACCCCAAACCACCTTCACTCTGGGACGGCCCCAAGGGCGGCAAAAGCTCCTCTCGCAGTGTTCCATAGGTACGGTGGGCAGGCTGGTTTGTTGGGCAGTGGCAAAACCGGGAGTTGACAAGGGCCCATCCACATCAGACATCCAAAGCAGAAAGCAAAGATCCGATCACCTGCCTATGACTCTACTGGGGCTCTCCGCCTTGTGTGAGCTTGGCTACACACAGCAAGCGGGAAACCAATAGCTTGAACCGTTGATTCGCCTTGGGCAACGCAAATAGGCTATTGGTAGGTTCCTACCAAGATCCTGTCAGCTTCCATGATGGTTGCATCTAGCTTGCTCAGCATGGGGCAGGATCCCAAATCTGAATCTGTAATCCGTAAGGGTACACCAATCAAGACAACAAGTAAGATCATCATCATCATCATCATCATCAACATCATCATCCTCATCCTCATCCTAATCCTCATTCTCATCATCATCATCACCGTCATCGTCATCATGGTCATCGTCACTGATCCTCGTCATCCTCGTCATCCTCGCCATCGTCATCATCACCAGCATCACCCTCATCTTCTTCTGGGAAGCTGGATTCAGGCTTGATCTTGGACGACGCGGCGGGGAAAAAACAAACAGGCCTAGGCTTCACCAGCAAAGACTCCCGGGCCTTGTCGTGCTTCATGGAGCTGAACTCCGTGCTCATGCTGGTGACCTGGGCGAGGTTTCGTCTTTTGCTTTCATGTATGGGCTCGTCGTTTTTTGGAGCCAGTGCCCCATTTTTTGTTGGTGGCTGTAACGGAAACTGATGGGGAAAACCCACCATTGTAATTTAGGGGTCCGCTACAAAAAAGAAACCCCCGTATGGACCCTTTGGTCAGGAAATCACCTGACTCAGAGGGGGATCCTCTACATCACCTGGGAAATTTACATTGCCCACCTGGCCAACATGTATTTGTTAACCCTGTTGGTGGACATCATAATGTATGAAATCTAGCGTGAAATCTACATCTCCCACCACTTTGACGGGTGTCTTTCAATGAAGCAACCTAGCACAAGTTCCTTGCCGCCTCGCTGAGGTCCGTAGGATTTCCGGCAGCAAGTTCCCTCCAGTGCCAAAGAGCCGGCCTGAATCACTGAAGGGCTGCCTTGAAGCGGGGTGTGACTTCATTCTACTGTAAACTGTCCGTTGCCATGTCTTTGTGTGAGGTGTGGTCAGCTGAAGCCAATGTTAGGATATGACACCGGAGGCCAATCGGACAACCCAAGAGAAACCATAGCAACCTCCGTGAAAATTCCCTGGCGCGACCTCCCTGAAAACTCCAAGTTGGCTCTTGCCCACCTCGTAGGATTCTTTCGCCAGAAACTCCGGGCAAGGACTCCCAGGTCTTCAACACGTTGCTTTCGAAGGCTTATGGTTTTCAAGGATTCCGCTTGCGTGTCGTGCAAGATCATGGCGAGAGAGGGGTGAGTTGAAGGTTCCCCACTTCCACGTCAGAGGCGAGCACAGCACACACCAACTGGTTCCAACCTCAGGTTCCGGTTTGTAGCCTGGAGGAATGTAGACCTGGGGGCTATGTTGCGGTCAAACACTGCACACGCTTAGCAGTCTTGCGGTTTCGTAGTCATCTTCTGACTTACAAGTGATCGCCTAGCTTCAGTCAAAACGCGCCCGAGTCTCGGTGCTGCTTCAAATCCCGGGACTTCAAAGGCATACTGCAGATGGACAAAATCCATTTCGCACCAGTTGGAATGGAAGAAGTCCTGTGAAACCTTTGGTAAACCAACAGGTTCGCACTGGATGTCGCAAACAGTAGCACGCCTCAGATCTTCTGCTGAAAGCTTAACTTCTAGCGGGATAAATTTTCGGAAACCCAACCACTCAACCAACTGAAAAGTTAAAAACATCTAAACCTCTGAGGTCATCCGATGGTCGCGACCCACTTCCACCTGCTTGGCCGCTGGCCGCTTGAAACGCTGCTCCACTGGGTGTGTCTCCAAAACAGAAGTACCCCCAAAATGGGTTCCCCTTGGTTTGCCGACGACACGCAAACCAATGGCCATGGGTCAAAATTCAAATCGTACCCCCAGTGGCTACATCTCAATCCAACCACTAAAATAGGTTCCAAAATGGGTGGTGAATTCACCTACCAACCAACATGGGATCCCAAAACGGTGTTGACCAACGGCCAAATGAAATGGGGGTCTGGCTGTGAAGTTTGTTGGGGAACCACCTAAAAAGTGACTGGTGGAGATGAATCCCCACCTAAATGATGTTCACTTGGTTGACGTTGGAAGGGGAGCAAAAATTCTCAAATGTTAGCAGTTCAGTGGATTTGGATTTCAACCACTCAACCGCAAGAAGCAAAAACGAGGAAAAAGATGTTTCCCAACGACAACCATGCTCAATGGAACCCAACCATGTTCAATGGACCAATTTCTTGGGGGAACCACCTAAAAAGTGACTGGTGGAAATATGACTCCCCAAGAAACCGGAATTCCAAAATGGGTTGCCCTGGTCAGTGGAAACATGTACCAAAACCTGCGGTTTGCCCCTCATCCGATCGTTCAATTTTGAGCCCCAAATGATGTCCAATGGAACCAAAAGAAAATCTGCGACGCTGATCCGGGATCCGACTGGGGCTCCCAGCGACCTCGTTGGTCCTGGAGAGGTCGTGCATGACCTTCGCAAGGCCTGGAGCAAGGTGGCGGCCCCAAAACAGCGAACGAAGCCATGGCGCGGGCGGGCAACAATGCACGTGGGGTAAGGAAACAACTATATGGAACTACAAATAACAAGCATGACATGTTGTTACTTGTAGTTTTACATGTGGTTTATAGTATTGGGGTACTAAATTGTTTCACACTGATGGTCCCAGCCTGCATACTTGCTTGTTGTTCCAACCAAAATATCTACGGTTGGCCATGTTGAGTCATCTCCAATGTGTGGGGAAAGGCTCGTCTGTGTGCACACCTCGATCTATCCTCCCAAAACACTCCCAATCAGCATCTTCACAATGTAGGAATCCTGCCAACACCTCGCATGGGGCGATACGTGTTATGTCCATCAAAAGGAAAACCGAAGCCATCTTGACGGGGTCGCCCCAACAAAGACGAGCCACATCCGAAATACGATGCATGCAGTTGGGCCTGCTTGAGGGAAATCTTACGTATAGCGCTTCTTGGGTAGCAGTGCTTTTCTCACGGATGACATTGCCCCCTAACTGGGCTCAACCTTGTTATTGGGGGGTTATGCCCCCAGCGGCTGACCACTTACTAACTCGGCCGACCATCCAAGTACCCCATCAAATCTGCAAATCTGGAGAGGAGACACCCATCAAAACCAGCGGGAAAAACACAACACCTGAAGACGACCATAGCAAATAGCAACCCTTTATCCTTTGTTTGGTCGATATTAAGTTGCTCTCAGCAGCATTTTGAAGATCACTGCCAGAATTGGGCATTGATTTGAATTAGGGACCGTTTGCGGGACATTTCGGCCGGGATTTATGTCCACCAACCACTTTTGAGCTGGCTCCGTAATAAAGTTATGGCCATGGGAAGGCGAATACTTTTGGGGCAGAGATATGCTACGACCAAACCCTGGAATCCAAAAGGAACAACATATGTAAGAGAAACCAAGCCGGCTGCAAGTCTTCCGATTTTGGATACACTCGGCAGACTTGAACCGTGAACCCTCTGGGTTGCTGGGCAGTTTGGTCCTGCCAATGGGATATGCCAAGCGCCCTCCCCCAAAATCTGCCTTCTCTGTTCGGGGCTGGCTGCCTTTTTTTTTTTTTACCTTTAGTGGGTGACATGGAAATCCATGCACTACACCCAACTAACAAAACTGAACACCCAGAAAAACCTCAGGAACACCAACCTATGGAAACCAACTAAAAAGCGAAAGACCTCAACTACCGGGACACCAAGTTTCGGCGAAGCCTTCAGACCTCCATGTTGCGCCGTGAAACTCGCGCCTGTCTCCTCCCCCCAGACATCGTCGCTGAGCTTGTTGTAGCGGTTCTCCAGACTCACCAGCTTCACCTTCGCGCAGCCGTGAGAAGCTGAAACAAACAAATAGTGGCCGTTGACTTACCCCTTAAAAGTCCAAGCCCTGGGGAAGTTTTTTTTACAGACATATACCCCATGCTACCCCCAAAAAGTTGAAAAGTCGTGTTTTTAAGAGGTAAGTTGACTCACCCCGGGGGCGTGAGAAGCTCCAACAAAACATTGTTTGGGGTTGGGATGCCGTGCCATGTTGCAACATGCTGCCTGGTTCAATCTCGGATACATCTAGCCAAAAACCAAGAATTCATGATAGGAAAACTTCGTCCCCCACTCTTTGTTAACTAATCTTCTGCATTGTTTTTAACAATTTGGGGTTCTAACTCGGAACATCCGACCTGCTTCAACCAAAGAGTGAACTCCGGATCCGTTACCAAATAGCCAGAAAGATTGGAAGACCCACGGGGAGTTGAGTTCAAGCAGAAATCCGGATCTCGCGAAACCGGGAAGCCAGCAAGCGTGTGGGAGGAAAACAGCGTAGCCTCTGGCTGGTCTGTGGCGTCCAAAAAAGGATTTCTTGACCCGCGAGGGGTCCTGTAATTCTGAAATGGGTGATTCTTTCTTAGGACTATAACCAGGCCCCCATTTTGCATCAAGCAACACATCATTTAGCCTATTCGCCTTCCCCGACCATGAGTGGATCTTTTGTGCCGTGCAAAAGTTCTTCATGGTAATTATTTGTGTGGCCGTTTCTCCAATGTAGGACCCCTGCCAAGCGGTCGGTTTCATTGTTGCGATTTTGCCTTTGAAAAGGCTTGTAATCCAAACATCTCTCAAATATGGTTCGAGGAAGTGTTGGCCGCGTATCGAGGGGCGCACAGTTTCCCAGATGCAACCCTCTCCCCTCATTTCCCCACATCGTGGGCAGAAGGTTGGGCCTGATGTTGGGCAAGGGGAAAGCAGCAAGCAGTTCCAAGCTCGTGGGCAGAAGGTTGGGTCTGATGTTGGGTCTGATGGGAAAGCAGCCAGCAGTTAGCTCGGCACCTCCAAGTCTGTCTTGAAGACGTTGAGCATCTTGTTCTGCTGACAAAGCCGCTTCTCCGTGTCGGCGCGCAGCCTTAATGTGGCTCCTGCCGGTTTCCTTTGGATCGAACTTCCCCCCCCCCAAAAAAAAGGGACACATGGGCAATGGTCACAACTGGTGAATCCACGCCAAGTTGCACCTTCTTGCCGAAAAGAAAGGAATCTGCTTGGAACATGCTGACATGCAGCCAAAATATAGAACCTCCAGCCCGTGTAAAAGGTTGGATCTCTAAGCTAAGAGCTTCGGGCATGTTCCAAATAACCCGTGAACATTCCCAAAAAGTCCTCTCCTGAACTTGTGCAGCCCTATCGTGGAGCTTCTGCGCACCATAGCACATCCAAACACAGGCATCCTTGATGAATGATCTCACCCAGGTGACTCGTAAATTGGAGAGATACGATGTTTAAGGGATGCCCACCCCCCTTCTTTCGCCCATTCTGTCCAAGCACCACCCCCTCCCCAATTTCTTCCGATTGGTTGAATCAGAGGTTGACCCGTAAACAGGTGGTCCTTTGCTGCCTCTAAATGTCCGAACTTTCAAATTTTGCCCAACCGGCAGAGCGCACAGTGAAATGGCCAAGAGGCGCGCGCAGGTCGGTGCCCGCCCAACAGATTCCGTGTGATGGGACTTCTTGGAAGCAAGTCTGAGGCTCCCACGAATCCCCCACATCCTGGACCCGACCTGCAGCAACTCACAGGGACGTTTGGGACGTCGGTTTGAACCAAACCACGGCAACCTGCATGCGGTTTAGAGGGAACCAACCCTTGACGCAATGAGATGTAGTGTCGACCCCTTGTTCGACCGCCTGTTTCCAAACACATAAACCAAAAAGAAGAGACCCCTAAAGTGGGACACTCCCGGTTATTACTCAACAAGAGGTTAAGACAAATCCCGAGTCCATACCTGGAGCCCGAATTTGGCGCGTGCTTTCTCTGGTTTGCATTTAGAATCACTGATTTTTGGGCCGTGAACAAAATACGGCCGGATGCGAAAGCAACATGCAGCCGAATTCAACACACAGCAAACCTGCAGAATCGCGGCCAACACAATCGAATGTGTCGAAAACTGGCAGTCAACTACGGTTCTTTTGCATTTCAGCCTCAGAAAGGGCTTGCTTTTTTATCCCCCGGCGTTGACTTGTGTGCCAACATGCGCTAACAGACATGCTTATTGTACTGGTTGGGACACAGTAACTTAGTAACCAGAGCGTGTTGTTTGGAAGAGGCTTCTAAAGTGTGAAGTTTCGCCGCCCAAAAAGTAAGCATCACTGCCTTGAACCAGTACGGCTGTGCCTTGGAGAATTACCGTTGCGCCTAGAAACCACAGCCGAGAATGGAAAGGGAACACTCTTCCACCGAACAAGCTGGTGCTCTGTAGGGAATGACCCAGGGTGTTGGGAATGAACCTAGGGGTTCATTTACGGGGAAAGCGTAAGGGGATGGTGTATGTCGGGGTCATTCGAACTCATTCCCTGCTGAGAACCAGCAAGCAAAAGGCGGCTTTTCATGTACCAGGTAGTGCTACATTGTCCTCACAGCTTTCCTGGTAGCTCCTTGGCTCCCTCTTTTCAACTAAACTTGGATACCCCAGCTCCGTAACGGCTCCCTTCCAACCACCAGCTAGATTGGCTGATGCCGAACTTTCCGGCGGCAATTGACATGGCCATAGGTCAGAAGCCCGTACCCCCAGTGAACATCCCAATCCCAACTAAAATAGGTTCTAAAATTGGTGGTGCACCACCCCAAACTGGTACCATTGGTTTTGACCCACAGCCACATCCAACAGGCGCCCGCGCCTAACTCTCCGACCACCCGGTCCACGGTGCGCTGGGTGCCCTGAACTGAAGCGTCCATACCTCGCAGAGGTCTGATTGGGCGTCACCAGCTCCAGCTGGGTGTGGCTCAAAACATGTTACCAACATGGCACCTTGGCAAGTACCAAAGACTAAAACTTGCGCCCTATAATATATATCTCTTTAATTCTGAGAAACGCCCAGATGTCATCTCAAGTCAGATTAAAAAAGCGATGGCAATGGTCTCACTTTGTCCCATGTACCACTTGAATGGCCCCCTTAGTGTTTAGGGGATGGCGCTCTTCTGAGGGCGAGACAGTGCCTCATGACCCCCAAACAGGGATCCTTACATTATACACCTGAACATAGCCTTGTAAATGGTGGTTTCCGTTTATTTTGGTGGAAAAAGCCATGTTTCAAATGGGCAAAATGTATCTTTTAAGGAGCCCTGCCAAACTACACACCTGAAACAGACCTGTTGATAAAAACAAGTTAAATAATCAAGCAACGTCGAAGGTGTGTTGGGCTGCTGTGGAAATGGCCGATCTGCCTATGGGTTTACCTCCTCCCGCTAACATGGTACTGGGACCTGATTCCTTCAAGAGGAACACGAACACAGGTGTCCTTGGGGAAATAGATGGGTTTCCCTAGATGAGAAAAAACCACCAGGTAAACCAGGAATCGAAACCCATCGATTTTTCTGGCAAAGAAACCAAAAAGGACACGATCTACCGCAGGGGCCTTCAGGTTTGGAGGCCCGGGGCCCCCTGCGCTCCAACTCGTAGCGGAAGAGATCGATGTCCTCCGAAGAACATGTTGCAGATGTGTCACGGAGTGTGGATTGCTTTCCTTTCCGAGGTCCAGTGGGGTTAGAATAAGTTGGTACCAACATGTTTTTGTATTTTTTGTCTATTTAGTAGAGGAACCCTCCCAACCAAACAAGGGTACAAGGGCACTACTGGGGGACCTAGTTTCAGAAAGGGCCCTATAGAGGGGGTACTTGGATGTTGGATTCGCCAAGATAGTAAGTGGTTAGCCACATGGGGTATAAGCCCATTATAACAAGGTCAACCCAACTTAGGGGAACTTCTAAGCGGGTAACAAACTAGGTTCCCAACAACATATTAACTTGGGCAACGGTCATGGGTACAACCTCAGAGCATCACAGAGCACAGAGGACAGAGCGGGACCCCTGATCCGTGATTAACGGGCAAAACCATCGGGAGAGTCATCGGTTCGCTCAAGCCCATCGATTCGACTCCGCCCCTCGGCCGACGAAGTCCGCTTTTTCGCTGCCAAGCTGGGCTACCACATCCCAGGCGTCAGAAAGGGATGCTGTGGACCATACCTGGCCAAATGGCACGGAAGGAAAGACCAGAACTCACTTGGCCAGTGACCAGCCCAAACAAAAGTGTACACTTTTTGGCCCACCACTAGTCAAAAGGGAGAGCCACGAAGGAAAAAAGTGTAAAGTGTGTCCACTGGCTGGGTGAGAGAAGGAAAGTTGTGAAGGCGGAGTGGTTCGGGGACGTTTGACAGATCAAGAAAAGTCCCAAATCCCGTGGCTGTTGGAGTCGAAAGTGGCAACCAGTAAGATAGCTTGAACTTTCGAAACAAATGGAGTTCACTAAGTCATTCTGGAGATTGCCCCCTCTCCCCCAATTACTGGAAACTCCCAATTGCCGGGGATCAGCCCCCAGCTTGTAGGGGCGGTGGGTGTCGGACAGTAGACCCTTGTTGGAACCACACAAAGGAAGGGAACGTCAAGTAACAAGGGTGCAAACAGAAGCCTTCTAGTTTTTACAACTCAAATGATGCTCTGTGAGGTACCTGCCTCAGCCATCGCATCTAAGTAATTAATCAATGGCCGCGAATTACACTTGATTGGTCAGACCACACAGATCAACTGCACATAGCCCAACTAGTGTTTGGGAGCTTATTTGTTTGATTGCTCGTTGTTTGTTTGCTTGTTTGTTTCTTTTGAGTGTGGTTGGTTGGCTGGTCGTTCGGTCGGTCGGTTGGTTTGATGGTTGTGTCTCCTGGCGCCAGGGTGCACAATCAACATTCACCCAGCAGAAAGAGGAGAGCCGGGAGGATAAGCGTTCAAGATGAGAAGTGAATAAAACATGAGCAGAAGACAGAAGTAGGGTACAAACCAGAAGAGGATGGAAGCAGTTGACCCAATGAGACCAAGAGGGGACAAAGGGAAGACAAAGAGGAGGAAGAGAAGATCAGAGTCTCGAAAAAAAGAGCGCCTGTTTGACCATCGCATGTCTGGTGTAGTGTTCTCGCCTATGCCTGCCAGCGAAGCCGGAGACTGAGCCCTATGGTCCAATGCCGGTCTCCAACCTGTCCAATACAGCGCTTGAGGCAAAGCTTGGGCTTTCCCAGCTTGGTTTGGATGATCGAAATCGGATCGGCCTCATCCAAGCACCCTGTCTGGAGGACAGGGTCCAAGACCACCTGGCCAAGCCGAAGCCAGGAGAAGCCGCCGGCATGCCAAACAATCCTGGGGGGCTGCCCTAAATTGGCAAAAGACGCCCTTTTATGCTAAAGCACGGAATCCAAAGACCAGCCAGCACGTACTCAATCTCGGCGTTGGTTGAGTGGCTCAAAAGGATCTGACAAGGCATCGGCAGCTAAACATGCCAAACACATCAAACAACATGTCGTGCGAACAACTTCCCAATGATCAATGATCCTTTCTGCAAGTCAATTGTTCGACGCGCTATAACCAAGGTTGTACGGGAAATAACCCCAACTATCTCATCTATGACCCTAGCTTTGAGTTCTGAGCTACTTGCTGTAGTAAGCAAGCACGTTGATCTGTGTAACGGATCAGCTGGAGCATGGGTGGTCCAAACAATTTGCTTTGCTTGGCCAGAGGTCAGCCCAAAGCCTTTGGTCTGAAGGACCCTTGGTCCAACCCTCAGGTGTTGAAAAGGAGCCATCCAAAACTCATTTGGTGACAGAAATGTTCGCTCTCGCCAAACAGGACACCACCCACTTCCCCGAAACAAAACAACGGCAACTTTTGCGATAAGGTTCATGCGTAGTGGACCGTGCAAGGGTAAATGATGACATGTCAGAAATCCTCCAGATGCCTGGGTAGATCTACAATGAACCATCAGAGGCGTCCATCAATCGGTGAGCTGTCCTTCAGAACGTCCTCCAGCACGGCCTTCCGCGCAGCACTGGCCTCAGGTTTGCCTGAGGAGAAGGCCGCGGAAGCCCGATTCATCCGCGGTCACACCCAGTAGGCGCGGGGGGGGGGGCTGGGAAGACGGAAATCTTTCCCCGGACCTCTAATAGAGAGGTTCGAATAAGGGTACCATTTTTTTCTGTAGTGTATTTTAGTAGGGAAACCCTCCCCCAAAAAAGGGTAAAAGGGCACTACTGGGGGACCTAATGTCCAAAGTGTTCGGGGCTGCTTGGGGCAGTTGTTGCGACCCACAGATTACGCTTAGACAGGGGTGGCGCAATTCCATGCCCTGAAGCATCCCTATATGCGTAGGGTACCACAGTAGATTACACGCAGCAAGCTGAGACAGGTTCTGTCCTCTGGAAAAGGTAGCTTTGGCTGTGTTGGAGCTTGAGGCGGCCTGATTAGGACGGATCCTGGGTGGGTCGCAGCGCAAATTGCACGTACCACAATGTCTGAAAAAAGCCAAGAAATGCGAGGTGGCGATCCAAACCAACTGAGAGGTGGCTGCAAGCGGAGCCGAAATAGAGGATAAAGGCACCTCCAACCACACTCCACTCCAGGTAGGGAAACAACATTGGGTCCCATGGGCCCATGAGGCACCCACTGTAAAAGAACTTGTCAAGCTACCAAACAAACCGCATGCGCGGACTGGCAGATCTGATCATTGAATTGCTCCATCCATGCCACTTGATGAGACAAAGGTCACTGAGGGTTAGAGGGACGTCACATGCTGTCTGCACAAAACAGCCAACGGGAAATCCTGAAACCTATGGCGGACTATTCAAAGCGATATCAACCAACCTGCGAAACCATTTGAGGCGTCTCAAACTTAACACATCCCTGATTAAAAGGGAATTTAAAAGGTCACAACCCGGGTCTCGGGTTCCACGTGAGTCTCCCACTCGCCTTTTGTGGGTCAAAATCTCCGGGACTTGTTTGAGGGTTGGGGACCAACCACACTTGTTGAAATATCATCGTTTAGGTTCCGCCCAAAGGCGGCCATCTGAGTGCTACCAGACATTGCGCAAAGAACCTGGAGATAGGTTCCAGGACAGTGGGTGATCCAACTCAGAAGTTGCTCACTGACCCTCGAACTAGTCTTACAAGGGTGAAGGCTCTCTCGGGTCCACTAAAGTTACATCCTCAAAATGACCTTCCATTCAACCGCTTGACGAAAAAAACTCTCAAACAGATGCTCTCAAAGCTGCAACTCCCTCGAATCTCCGATCATCTCTTTCCATTTGTTTTGCGCGCACTGGAACAAATGAGAACATGTGTGCAGTAGTGAAATCGATTTCCTTTAAGACTTCAACAAGGAAAAATGAAACATCCCTAAGGTCCCCGACGACTTTTGGGTCCTCCCGAATGGAGAGCCCTTGAGGGGCCAGGGTTCTGCATTGGAGGCTCCAGGCAATGTGCATTGCAGGGGTCGTGACCCTTAGAAAATGCAAGCAAATGAAAGCTTTTGTGCCCATAGGTGGCCTTTCGGAAAAATAGATGGCCCTGGTAAATGGAACAAAGCCCATCTAAACCAGTGCCATCAATTTTTACCCAAACTATCCCAAAAAGGACGCCTATGTTTGTGCCCCTTTGCCAACCCCTGAAGAATCTCAATCCGCAGCTCGCTCGGCCTTTGATGGCCATCAGCGCGGGGCCCTCAGCCCAAACCGATCAAGGGATCACGTTTCTTTTCTGAGATGCCCAGTGGACAAAGGAAAACAAACAAGGGCACCACTGGGCAACAGAGTTTTGCCACTAATGGACACCACGCCAAGGAACAATTCAACCAGGTCAACCTTAGAAACCAATGGACACCACTAAACATCCTAGGGTTTGACTCCCCATGCTTTTCAACCATCGTTCATTTCAAAACTTAGCTGTCTTTTGCTGGGTGATTGACGCTTTCCTGCAAAGAAGGATCCCTGCAAAGAATGGACATGGAAGCTTCCTCTAGAAACATGGAAGCCCTACCATGAGCCGTAGACGTTTACAGATCCCCCTCGATTCGCGATTCGCAGCCCTGGCACTCGAGTCGCCTGGCCCCACACTACGAGAAAGGGAAACCCAATCAGGAGAAAAACAGTGGACACCGAAAGATAAGGTTGGACTAACAAAAAGGACATCGGCCGGAAAAAAAACCCACTGGAAACCAATGCAAACCAATGGACACCCAAAGGGGGCTAAACATGGAAACCAACCAGAAAAAATGGACACCCACAAAAAAATCGAAGCATGAACCACCGAACCGCCTGCTTTCAGGTCGAGTCGCCTGGTTGAATTCCAGCAGCCAGGGCCTGAGGTTTCGGTCCACCACCACATCCGCGCCCAGCACTTCAAAGCCCAGCCCTCGAGCGCCAAGCGCGCGAGCGCGCGAGTGGCAGCGAGAGAGCGAGTGGCATGCCGGGTGCTTGGAACCGAAAAAACCCGATGCCTTAAAGGGAAAGCCCGAAGAAAACAGACACAACACTGGAAATCAAACGCGGGCGTTCGAAAGGGAAAACAAAACAAAAGCCGGAAAGGGTGTGGTGGGTGAGAGCTCAGTTCAGAGGGTAGGTCAAGGGAAACAGAGTCTTGTCACAGATGTCCATGTCGAGACAGGACTTCTTGGGGGTTCTTTTCTGAAACGCCCACGGCGCACGCGAGATGGAACTGTTGAGAGGGTCTTGCCAGGCAAGGGGATCCTTCTGGTGAGGTTGCAAGGAGAACATGGCGGTTGCCAAAAAGTCGGAGGGAAGATCAGGAACCAACTCGAATCTTTCAGGAGAGCATCGATTTTCAAGCAACCCGGCATCTGTGATGCGAGCTGCACTTTTAAGAACTCTCCCCTATTGGTTGCAGTGTAGACGTTTCGCAATTCTGGGTGCTTCAAGCTTGTCTTTTAGCATTTCGAAGATGGTGTCCAACCCCGCCCCTCCCCAAACTTCTACGCCCGGGGAAGCATATTTGGGCATACAACCACAATCCGGCCACGTGTGTTTTTTTCTTCAGCAGTACCTTGGCCTAACTCTAGGGTGCGCCAAACATGAGGACTCTCAGATGCAAACTTGGTGACAACAATGTCATGGAGACGTGATGATTGTGTCATAAAATTGTCTTTCTCAAGCTAAGCGGGTAATTTCTTGGCTGGAATTAGGACCCCGGCAAACAAATGTCTTTTTTGCCTGGTTAGTGGAAAACAAAGGGGACCCCAAAAAAGCAAAAAAGGAAAAGGGGGAGCTAATTCTGGGGAAGATTTAAGATTCAAACCCTTTCATTGGTTCAATGTGATGGGCTTAAGCCGGACGACGTGCGACGGCCGAAAAATCCAGATCCCTGTCACAGGTATCTTTGTCATAGACGGATTGATCACCTGCTTCGTTGACAAACCGTTTCACAAAAAATCCTTCTCTTGGCGGGCGCTCCGGGAAGCCCTTACCCATGTTGCGCGGCCAGAGTCCCTGCGTGTCAAATTCCCCCCAAGAAGCAGTCAAGTTCTTTGCATATCCCCTCAGGCTTCCTTCTGTGGCTCTCTGACTGCGCCTCTTGTTCTATCTAGCTCTTCAGGCCATACATGCACTCACGTATTTCGGTGCCGACTCACTTTCAAGCAAACACAATACTTCAAGGCAAACCAAAACACAGTACCTCAAAGCCGGCCAAAAGCTTTCGGGCTGAGGTGGGCAACGCGGAGCGTGCGAGTCAAAGAACAAATGTGCTGGTTCATGATATGGCACAGGAACGGGAGCTCAGGCGAGCGGCCGTCAAAGCCCAAACACATGAGTCACGGACCATGTAGTTTTTGTATTGGCCTAAGAAGTAATGGCAACACACATGGGTTGACTGCTTGAACTCGGGATCACTGCGCTTCTCCTCCTTCCCAATCCCCGGGCCAATCTGTTGAGACCCCTCAAAATGGAGAGTTTCACGCGTCAAAAACTCAAACTTGGCTTGCAACTTGAGCCATCAAAATCGATTGGTAGCTTAAATGGCTGTGGCTCAAAAAACCGGTACCAAAATGGGTTGCCCTGGTAAGTGGAAACATGGACCAAAACCCGCGGTTTGCCCCTCCGATCGGTTCATTTTGAGCCACACCCAAATGCTCGGGACCCATGTAAATTTAATCAACAAGGCGGCGAAGGCATCCGAATCTAATCGCGATCCCTTACGAAGCTTCTACCGGGGTTCTGATTGTGGCTCAAGTCATAACAGGGATCCTTACAATAGATCCACCTGAACATTGCAACTTGTAAATGGTGGTGTCCAACTTTATTTGGTGTTGAAAAAGCAACATGCTTCAAATGGTTGCAAAATGGAGATCTTCACAAAAACCAGCTTGAAAGGAGGATAGCACCGGGGTGGTAGGCCCGCAGACACGTTTGTTCAAGTCAAACAAGGCCTTTCAGGAGAAACGACAGGGAACCCCCCGGCTCCATTTTGAAGCCCCATATTTGGAAAGCGAACTAGCCATTGCCAAACATGCGACAGAAATCCGTAACCAAGACTTGGTTGACGTTGGGTTTGGGGAGCAACAAATAAACTGTCGCAGTTAAGTGGGGATTTCCACCACTCAACCACAATAAGCAAAAATGTAACATGTTTCCCAACAACAACCATGAAGGACCCCTCCCCCCTGAAAAAAGTACATCGCTCCTCGCCTTCGTCCCGGCTCAATGCATCCGCGCTGAGGAAGGGACCAAGACAGGCCTTCAGGGGACGCTGGGCGGGGAGCTCTGTGACCCCGCGAGGGGCGGTGATCTTTTCTCCCACCCTCCCACCAGCTAACATGGTTTGGTGCGCAGACCCCTGTAGAAAGACCACTTTCCGTGGTTAGTGGGCCTTTTTGCACTTGGTGGGAGGGCATCAAGATCATCTGGCGGTATCTTGTGTTGCTCTCTTACTTCCCCCTGTCCATTGATTTCAGACTCCACGAAATGAGGAGAAAACGGTAGGGGAACCATCCCCGAACTCCCTCGCGCGCTATTTCAGGGTTTGTGGGGGCCATCTTAACAAACATGACGTGATTCCCCCTTCTCCCTTTAAGGCAGTGTGACCTGGAAACGATTGCTGGTCAACGGACATGGATGATGGCAAATGAAAAAGTCCATTTGCTAAGCTTGAACAAAACAAAAAGTAGTGATAAAACCAACAGGGGAAAATAAGAAACCTTCGTAAGCAAATGGAAGAAAACAGATGCAAAGTGGATCCCTGTTCTCAGCTGCCCGGAGGATGCAAAAATAAGCTTAACCTTTTGGGACCATGACTAAAATTGACCAAACAACTGGACACCAAAAGGTCAGAAGGTCGATTCGCTTTGGTCAAGTGAGCGTCGCGACATGCCTTTTCAACCATCGTTCTTTTCCAAAACCAGGTGTTTTCCCTGGGTTTCTGGAGGTTTTCTAGAAATAAGGATCCCTGGAAAGAATGGACATGGAAGCTACCCCTAGAAAAGTGGATCCTTTTTCGGCCGATTTGCCTCAAACATCTCCAGCATCTGCGGCCACACAGAATTCGCATGGCGCCAGCCCGAGCTGGCCACGCAGCTCACCAGCTTGTCGCTGTCCAAGGTGGAGTTCACGTGCCGGCGCATGTCCGGGTCATTGGCGTCCTCACATGGCTGTGGGTCAAAAAAGTGGTACCAATTTGTCGGTCCCTTGGACGGGAAAAAAGACCAACACCTGCGTAACCCCAGCTCTTGAATTTTGAGCCACACCCACATGTCAACATGCGGCTATGGGTCAAAACCCAAATCGTACCCCTGGTGAACATCCCAATCCCCACTAAAATAGGTTCTAAAATGGCTGGTGAATTCACCTACCCCAAAATGGTACCATTTTTTTGAACCATGGCCATGTCAATTCAACTCCAAATGCTCGGACCTCACCAACACCGATCGGTGTTTTCCCAGTTCCCATGGTTAAGCACAAAGAGGTGGTACAAAGGGGTGGGGTGTTTGCGGGGGCCCTCGTTTAGCATCGTAGAGCAGGGCTTTGATGATAAACATGCCTGCAACGGGAAGTTTGGACGATAAATCCTTCTCCCCTCTGCTCACCTCCTATGGGTACTAGGTCCTCCAGTAGAGAGGTTAGACTAAGGGTACCCTTTGAGAGGTTAGACTAGTGGAAACTACCACTAAACCCCAAGCTAAAAACAAACTGAGGAACCGGATGGCAAGCTTTCGAAGTTTTTAGGTTGAGTCATGTTGATTCTGAAGGGGAACCATCTGGAAATCGGTTTGCTAACAACCGGTGATAGTCCATGTTCGATTGAAAGGGCAACCGCTTGGCCGAACCGAATCGGTTTGGGCTCAAACCCCCGAAAGTACATGTTTTTCGCTTCGAAAGGATCCTATGGCCCCAATGGTTTCGAAGGCTTGGGATGAACCAACATATGGCTGTGGCTCAAAATGAAACGATTGGAGGGGCAAACCGCGGGTTTTGGTCCATGTTTCCACTTACCAAGGGTCCATTTTGGTATCAGTTTTGTGAGCCACAGCCATATGAGTTGAAACAAAGGAACCAAATGGAACCTCGAGGTCTAAAGAGATGTCTGGAATGGCCTTCTCAGGTTGGACTAAAAAGGAGAACGGGAGGAACACCAAAAGCCGTTTTGGGGTCCAACCTCCATTGACACACGGCTATGAAGTTCTAGCAGGGACCCTCTGGTGGACAGCATTTAGGTGGGGATTCATGTCCACCAGTCGCTTTTAGGTTCCCCAACAAATTTCACAGCCAGACCCCCTTCATATGGCCGTGGGTCAAAACCCAAATCATACCCCCCTGTGAACATCCGATTCAATCCCCACTAAAATAGGTTCTAAAATGGCTGGTGAATTCACCTACCCCAAAATGGTACCATTGGTTTTGACCAACAGCCATCTTGGTAGGTGAATTCACCGCCCATTTGAGGCTTCCTATTTTGTGTGGTTGGATTGAATCGGATGGTAACTGCTGGGGGCTAACCGATTCGGATTTTGGCCAACCGCCATCTAAGGCCCCCGGTTCTGGACCGAGCGTCATAGGCGGCCGGATGAGAGCGGCAAACGAACTCCCGGCGCGCCAAGGCGGCGCGGCGCGAGCCGCTGGAGTCACGGCCGGAGAGCAGCAACACATACACTCCTCGGAGCGTAAACGAAAACGGTCGATTCTCAACCCCCAAATGGGTGGATTGGTTTGGTGTTTGGTTTTGGGATTTCTGAATTCAGGGCTCTAGAGACTAAATATAAAACCGGTCCTGACCACCACACCGGGCTCCAAACCTGATTCAGAACCAGCAGTCCTTCAGAGGCTTCGTCCGAATCAAAACCAAACTATTTTAATCTTGATAGGTTTCAAAGGCCTGGCTTGACTGTGCTTGGTCTTGTACTGTTTCGGGAGTCTACCGCCGTCGACATTCCGCGAGGGAAAGATTCGCGTGTGCGCGTGACCCACTACACTCAATCGAAACGGGGCTCACAAAATGAGCTGAGTCACAATCGAAACCTTGGTGTTAGAGTGTTAGAGGAGTACACCTAAAATCCTGCAAAGAATCAGAAGGCCAGCTGCACCTATTTGCGCCCTAACCTCGGTCTATATCCAGGTTTTGATTCTGGCTCAGGTCGCATCGGCCATTGTCACGCAGTCGACCGGAACACATTGCATGTATAAAAAGAAGTCCGCACTAGAGGAAAGTCGTCTTTCTACAGGGGTCTGTGCACCAAACCATGTTAGCTGGTGGGAGGGGACCCATTTTGGGGGGCCTGGAACTTTGATCGGGTTTCCTGTTCTCACCAGCGAGGAGCGCAGCTCATTCGGCTTCAGACAAACAGGGTGAGGCGCAAGGGGCGTGCCCTGAAAAGACGGAGAGGTCTGTAGCCCCCAAAGCGCACCAATACAGGGCATGGTAAAGGCTGCAATGCCTAAGGTTTGTTGGATTGTTTTGGCCCGACCCCGAATCAACCTGTACCAGGGGGTTCTAAGAGATCTCACATGCCACCTTTAACTGGGACTCTGAGAGTCATCTTCCGGCCCTGGTCGTCCAAGAGTAGGTCGGCCACTTCCTGTGCCAGTTGCACAACCGAAACCCGAAACCCGAAACCCGAAACCCGAAACCCGAAACCCGAAACCCGAAACCCGAAACCCGAAACCCGAAACCCGAAACCCGCAACCGAAACAACCTGCGGGCAGCGGGTGTCAATAAAAAGAAATGCCAGGTCCATCCTCTTTGTTAAAATTTTGGGGAAAAAAGGAAAAACACACGCCATATTAAGGGCTGTTTAGAATCCAAAAATGTATTTGGAACCTTTTGCGTTCCTTACCCACATTGCGTCCGAAAACAACATTCAAGCCCAGAAACTGGCAACTGGAACTTCTGGCTGATCTGTTTGAAGGGAAATTATTGATGGAACATTTAAGCGCTGTGGCTCAAAAAAGAGGTACCAAAATGGCACCTTGGCAAATGGAACCAAAGCCGAAAACCTGCGTAACCCTAGCTCTTCAATGTTGAGCCATACCCATATCAAGTAATCTGGAATGGGCCAGTCGTCATGCAACATCAGCCCCTGTAAAAATAAAAGACGTCAAACATTCGAAGTGCCCACATGATCAAATTGGTGTTTTGTGGGTGAAGGGAACCACAAGGAAAAAGCCCATTTGCGGGTTTCCCTGTGTCGACACATACCCAAACGAGTGAAGTTCTCTACGCGCATTCCCTGAGGGCCTTGCGGTAAAATTGCTATCCTTTGTTCCCCAGACTTCCATTTGCTTTTGCCCCCTGGGAAAAATGAGACATTATGTGCAGTACTGATACATTCCCTTTAACACCAACCGGGGAACATCAATTAAAAATAATCGTTTAACCATATGGACGGCTCTCTTGAAAATGGAGAGTTGGCCAATCTTCACCCATGAATCCCACTAAAAAAGGGACTGCGCTTTTTATCCCATAGTCGAAGTCTTTGGTGTAGCCCTTAGGGGTTGCAACAGTCGTTGGGTGGAATCTCCATGCTTGACTGGGTTTTGAGGCCTAAGGCCTCCGCGCTTCGCAAGATTCGCGCATTGGCAACACAAATTCACGAGGATCTACGGGAGGTCGATCCCTTCACCCGGAGATGCGTACGGTGAGAGCAAAAAGTTACACAAGAACAGGGGTCCTTACAGTATACACCTGAACATTGCGTTGTCAATGGTGGTTTCCCTTTATTTTGGTGGAAAAGGCAACATGCTTCAAATTGGCAAATAAAGATCTTTTAAGGAGCCCTGAAGAGACAAGGACATGTGTGTGTTTGTATCTTTTCGGGGTAAGCCGGGCTCCCCTTCGTTCCCCCTTCTAGTCGAAAACTTTTAGTGGCTTAGTGGACGCTACCACAAAACCAACCAAACAACTTTTAAAAACCAAAGGAACCGGGGGACGCTACCACAAAACCAACAAAAAAAGCTTTAAGCACCAAAGGAACCAGGGATGCTACCACAAAACCAACAAAAAAGATGTAAAAACCAAATCCACCGCGGACACTACCTCTCAACCAACAGAAAAGGCTTTAAAAACCAAAGGAATCGGATGGCTGGGGATCAACCCTAAGCAACAAAAAGACTCAAATGAACCGGAAGCCCGGGGTTCCCCAAGGTAAAGAGAGGCTCGGAAACGCAGGTGCATTTTGAGACAAAGCTCCAAATGATCCCCACTTTCCATTGGGGAACCCAGCAAGCCAAAAGATGTTTTTTTTTTTTGTTTTAATGTTTTCTCCCGGGTATCCAGAGCTGTGGGGGCTCACTTTGAACCCAAGTTACCAGACAAAAATGGGCACAAGTCTACAGCAAAGGCCGGAGATCTGCAACCTTTGGCAGGGAGACTGGCTCTTCATCTGTATCTTCTGCTTTTTGTGTCCTTTTGGAGGCTGCCCATTTTAGTGTGATTTGAGTTGAACACCCAAAGCACAACCACCTTTTGGAGCGTTCCAAACTAGATTTGCTCGCCGTTTCTGGAACCTATGTTGGCGGTTGCACGCCTTCAGCTTTAGTTGTTGAGTCAGCGCACCAAAAGGAACACCTGCTTTTGATCTCCCTATAAAACACACACACACACACACACCCAAATACCAGCTCTTTTGGCAGGTTTCCCATAAATACCTCTTGGGTCAGGGTTCGACAGAAGGATAGATAAGATAAAATATTACTTGAACCAAGGAGTGCGACCGAAAAATAGTTCCTGGGTATGGCCTGGGATACTTCAAAAGCAAGCCAGGTAATGGAATAACGTGTGTGTGTGTGACGTTCATGTTACTGGATTCTCCTTAAGTTGCGATGGACTAGTGGTTTCCATTGAAGCTGCCACTTTTGGCAGTTCCACAAAGTGGAAACGGGGGAAACCCTGATTCAGCCCCTTGGCTATCCTCAGATCCCCTGCTAATAGTTCAATTCTAAGTGGGTTCAATGGAAACTCCCACTAAACCAACCAAAAAACCAGACACCAAAAGAACCGGATGGCTGAGACACCCCCTCGGCCAAGCTTGTAAGTGCTTGGCCGCTTGGGGTACAACCCCCTGATCACAAGGTTTCCCCCGCTCAGAGGGACTCTTAAGTGGGCTACAACCCAACGGTTCGGCCGACAAAAGTAACCAAACTTGCTGTTGACCACTCCAAACCCAAGTGACTAAAGTCCGAAACGGAACGCGGGAAGTGAGCAATGTTGACGCCATATTAATCAACCCCAGCTTATTAAAAGGGGGGTGTCCATTTCTGGGTTTAGAAGGGAATCAAACCACTTTTGGAGGGCCAACCCTCCCCCCTATTTAGTCAACTGGTTGGTTGACTTCATATGTGTATGGCTCGAAATTCAAGAGCTAGGGTTACGCAGGTTCTAGGCTTTGGTTCCATTTCCCAAGGTGCCATTTTGGTAATTACCGCTTTTTTTGAGCCACAGCCCTATGGGGTCAACATTAAATCGACCCCCCGCCCTGTGCCGAGCCCCGAGCCCCGAGCCCCGCCTGCTGCGCCACATAGTCCTCCGCATGAAGGCTGAGCCATGCGGCGCGGCAGGCCGAGAAGCCCAGAAACACCGAGACGCCCTCGTTGCGCTCGCGCCGGGCCTGGGCTTCGGAACTTGCTGCGAGACGTAGGGTACGAGGGAGTCAACCTGGCGTTTTTTTTTATTTAAGGAAACCACCAGTTGGATGTGTCTTTTTTTTGGGGGGGGGGGGGTCATTCCAGTTCTCATTCCCTGAGCACCAGCAAAGAAAGCCGGAGCCTTTGGCGGCTCCCTGCTGCCGTTCAGCCCGGTTCAATGGGAAAAAGGGAGCCAAATCTTTTGGGATGGATCCGACTTTTTCTTCCACCCAAAAAGGGGAGGATGGCACTGAACTGGGGTGACTCAAGCGGGGTGAGCGAAAGGGAACTCGTTGCCACTGAGAGGGGGGGGGGCGGGGGGCCAAACGTTCCAGGCTGGCCACTTGGCATGTCACGTCAGCGAACAATGCTGAACACGTGCGAGGGATCTGAAGCCGAAAACTAGGTAGTGCGAAACACAAAGAAAATCAACCAGTCGCTTTCGGCCCCCGTACCGTATCGTACCGTGAATCTGTGGTCGTCGCGTTGCCCAGATTCAGCTACCATTTGCATCTCAAACCAAATGCGCAGAGCAGCTGAGCGTGGCTATAAAAATATTCCCTAGGTCCTCCAGTAGAGAGGTTGGAAGAAGGGTACCCTTTTTTCTGTAGTCTATTTTAGTAGGGGAACCCTCCCAACCAAAAAAGGGGTGAGAAAGGGCACTACTGGGAGACCTAGTTCCATTCAGTTTGGCAGTTCAGGCTACTTCCGGAACTAAGAAGATCACTGTCGACACCCAAGGAGTTCCTTCGTACCGGCTTCTCGCAGCCCGTAAGCTGGGCCTCTTGAAATGGCACAGCCCGAAGACCCCCGCAAGTCGAGAACGCCGGTAGAAAAGGCCACGCAAACAAAAATCGAAAGGCCATCAAAAAGTGGCCCCCAGAGACCAGGCCGACCAGGCCTGTCAGGGTTCTCGAACCAACTTCTCGGCCGTCCCTCCATCAAACCGCTCAGAGAAGGTTGGTCACTCCTACTCAAAACTTTTCCCGCTTGGGAAACCACAGACAGGGCGTTGACGTTCCTGGAGGGTGGAGGTGTTTCTCTAACTCTTCCCCCCCTCGTCTCAGCACAAGGCTTCCCTACGCCTCTCAAAAAGCTGGGAAAGGCGTCCGGCCAAATGACGCAGAAGAACCGGCGGACAGCTGAATGTGTTGGGGTCAATGTACCCTTGCCGGGGGGCCGGTGTCTGCTAATTAGCTGGCAAAGCTTTTCGCTAACCGACCAAGAAGCTTGGCAACAACAAGTTTAAACATATTGGAAGCTGAGGCAAGGCGTGCAACCACTTGGAACAACAGCGCCCTAGGATGCAACCTGCTGCCAAGCTGTTTAGATCAAGTCGCGTGCTTCAAGAACCAGAGCTTCTGCTCCGGCTCATTCACCTCAGCCCCAGGAGACAGCAGCGTCCTCTCCGGCCAAAAGGTTCACTCTGAGCCCAGTTTTGGGAGCCGATTTGGCAAAATAGGTACCCAAAATGGAACCCTGGGAAGTGAAAACTGAAAACTAAAACCTGCGGCTTTCTGGTGGTTTAATTTTTACCCAGACCCATGTCAACCGTTTTTGCCTCGTCCTTTCGGCAAACAGTCCTGGGAGCCCCAGACTCTACCCAAAAGTTCCCCGTACTCCATTGCGACACCCTCCGTTTTTGAGCAATGGCCAAAACCGGATGGGGACACATGTGCGCGATGTCTCAACATGCCTCCGGACCCTCCCCCCAAACAACTGCGAACACCTTCCCTTGGCTTCGGTTCAAGCCTCAAAAACGGTTGCACCCTCGAACAAGACAACAAGTGCAACCATTTGCCATGTTAAACACCTTGACCTTTGCCAGGGCCTCGCATGCATCTAACCAAGAGGGGTTGCACCCTACAAGTTCCCAACATTTGATCATCACCCGAAGGAAACTCTCTGAAACTTGGCCCAGCAGCTGATGTTACCCTCTTAACCTGGATCAAATCTGTACAAAGGCTACCCGGAAATCCCGATAACTTTGCAAGAGCCAGGGGGAAAACAAAGATTGACACTCCTTACCCCTTAAAACTCCAAGCCCTGGGGAAGTTAATCTTTTACAGACATATAGCCCATGTTACCCAACAAGTTGAAAAGTTGTGTTTTTAAGAGGTAAGACTCTGTTTTTTCTTGGGTGCTTGGCACCCCCCTTTTCAGCCATGCAAACAGCTCCACTACCCACCCGTCCTGGGAGCCCACTCTGCAGCGTCCGCCTTCGCCAAGTACAAGGCCAGGCGCTGCTTGTCCCCCAGCTCCCCGCAAGCGCGGAGTCCTCAAATGGCCCAGGCAGATTCTTTGGGTCAGTGGAATCCACTTCTGTACAGAAAGGGCTTCCCAAAAATGAACCCCCCCCATAAGAGGAGATTCCCCATCACAGTGGGGATAACAAACCTGGTTTTGGCGGTTTTGGTAGTTTGAATAGAAATCTGGACTCGACAAACAACACTTGATATTCTTTAAAACCCGGTTCGGATGCCACGTGTTTGTTGCAACAGCTAACCCCGCTCCCCCAAAGCTCTACCTTAAGGGTGTCGCTATTCTGCTTCATGTTGCACATCCTGGGTTCCTTGTTCTCTTTGGTTTGGTATGCTTCTTTGTTTGTTTTTGTGGTTTTTTCTTGTGGCTTGATGATTGGGTGGTGCCACTGGGATAGGCTACGAGAGCAGACCCTTGGTACGCCTTGGGAATGAGTGACTGAGTGAGTGCAGCACTACTCAAGAGGGGATTGTACAACTTCCCGGCTTATATACAGCTTCCCAACCAAAGCCCACCCTGCGGCCCCTCCGATGAACCCTCCTCAGCCCGTGGAACCCATCTTGAGGACCCGGCTCTGCAAACAACCCAAACCAAACAGCCATCCCCCCCCCCGCCGAAAAGAAACCAGAAAACAACGAAACAACACGAAAAGAAATAAGAACACAAGAAAATAAAACCAAAAGGAAACAAACAACAAAAACTAAAGAAACAAACACACGTCAACATCCTCCAGCCAAACAAGGTCACCCCTCCCACCCACCCACCCCCCCACCCCCCCGGGCCCGAAACAATAAATACAAATGCACCTAAAAAGCCGTCTGGGGGGGGGCCCCCCCCGCCCCCGCCCAAAAGAAACCACAAAAACAAAAAAACAGACACCGCACCTCAACCCCCCCACCCCCTCCCTACCCAAAAGAAACAAGCAAACAAAACAAAACCAACAAAAACGCACCTCAACCCCCCCAGACAAGGTGCTCTGGAGCTCAATGACCCCTCTGTGCTCTTCGTCCACTTCCAGCGCTCGCCGCGTCTCTGGCGGCCCCGAGGCTCGCGGGCGCCAGGCCGCCAGCAGCGCCCGTTCCCCGCGCTGCGCGAAGGCGAGGCCCCGTTGGCTCAGCAAGGCCGGGAGGGACCAGGGGGCGTTGGAGTGGAAAGTTCTGCGCACCTCCAGGGACTGATCACCCGGTTGACCTTGGGTTTGGGGAGCAACAACTTAAAATTTTAGCAGTTGAGTGGATTTGGTTTTCAACCACTAAACCACAATAAGCACAAATGTAAAATGTGTCCCAACAACAACCATGGTTGCAACCAGCTCTGCCAAAAGTTGAAAACCTTGTTGGTTGAATGGAAAGTCCACTGTTTCTCGAAAAGTTAAAGTCGAAAGATCCCACCAAATGGCAATAAAGCAAAGGGCGCAAATGACCCTGGGGGCTGGGTGCTAGAAGGTGCCATTGGCCCAGGTTGGGATTGGGGAGGGAGTCCTTGGGCGGGCGCTTGACCGGCATAGGCAGACGACTTTGATCCTGCTTGTCATCTTGCTCGCAAGTTGGATTGCGACCCAAGATGAAAGTTGCCCTGGAGCAAACGTGCGGATACATGCGGTTGCACAAGCTGCATCCTTTGGCAAAGGTAGCAACTGTGCACCACGCCATTGTTTGCGGTGGAAGCGTGGGTGACTGGAAGAGCAAACATACCGCGTACTGCAACTTGCCAGGGGATCGTGGTCGGCCGGACAAGTTGGTTCACTTGCAATACTTGGGGAATCCACTGCACCCCGGTCGACCCCAAGCAACGAACACCGACGACGACGGCCACAACCACCACGACGACTTCTGACCTGCGCAAGTGCGGAGCAGCCTTCATGGCTGCAGCTCATGCAGCCGGCTCAGCCGCAACCGCAGGCAGTGGAGGGGATTTTATGCAACGGTGGTCACATGAGACATGTAAGGCTCATCGCCTTGTATCCAGAGTTCCCCATAAACATCCAACATATTTGACTTGGAGAAATGAAACGGACTACGCAGGCAACTCCGATGATTACTTTGTTTCCCGATGTGTTCCAAGGTTTTCTCTTTTTTGGGGAATGATCAACCTAGGAAGATTGGGTTGTGGCTGGGGGATCAAACCCTCAGAGTTGCACAAACAAAAAACGGTGTCGACGAGAGCCGAAAGCGCTGCGGGAGAATCCAGGCTCATTCTATTCTCATGTTGCGCCATTGCTAGAAAGGCCAAAGGGCCATTATGAGGTTTGCTTCCTTCCAACACGACCAAATATTAGAACCCTTTACTCCAACGATTTCCCGCCTGTACCCACCCCATTTGGTTGACCATAAAAGGCCCCTCAACAGTGCCGAAACCCTCTTGTGAGGCAGTTGATTTTCATTTTCCCAACAATGGCGGGGGGTCAACAAGGCTAAGGTTCTTTTCGACTTCTCCCAAACCACATGCGTCTACAAAGGAAAATGAGACATGCAACCACTGTGTAGTATTTTCCATGTAAGGGTTGTGTACCCCATTTCGCCGCTGTGGCTGCTGTGGGATCCATAGGCAAACCCTAGCACAGAAAAATGCATAGGGCTCAGGGCGTGCGGTATGGGTGTTGGGGTGTCTGGATGTCTGTTCAAAATATCGTCCGGTCTCTTTTTCGACTGGTTTACACAGCTCATCTGTGTCGTCTCACTTCGTCTAAAAATGGCGGGACCCGGCTGGTTCCTGTGTTTCCATGATCCACAAGCTCTGTGGCTCATCTGCATGTCTGCTCTGCGTAAAGACTCCGGAAGTCCCCTACACGGAAAAACCAAAGCTGTCCCCCTTGAGGCAGAGGCGCAAGAATTGGGCAGCTCTTGAGATGCGGCAAGGAAGGTGATTTTGGGTTCCTTTTTGAACTGGCTTCAAAAGGAGGGAATCCCACCTCCAAAACTGTATAGAGACCACAAGGAAACCATCCGGCGTAAGGATGGACTTGTTTCTTCCGTTTTGAACGTCAAAGAGGGTCCCAAGACTGCCATAAACATCATGTTGAATCTACCTTGCACCTATTGACCCAAAGAGGACACATGTGGCTGTGGGTCAAAATTTGGTACCCCAAATGGAACCCTGGTAAGTGGAACCATGGACAAAAACCTGCGGTCCCCTGGTGGTCTAATTTTGACCCATACCGGCCCATACCCATGTAACCCAAAAACGGCGCACCCCGGAAAACTTCAGACATCACCAAACCCGCGTCCTGCTTCATGCAGCTCAAGGTGTCCGTGGACGACGCCTGCCATTGCCTCACATGGAATCCACAGCTCAGCTCAAAGACCCGTTGAAATGAACGGCTAACAGTTTGGGGCCATGATCAAAGAACTGGACCAAACAGGGAAATCAAAAGGTCAAAGGATCGGCTTTGGGCAAGTGAGACAGTAAAACGGGAGAACCCAAAGAGGAGAACCTGGAAGTGAAATTGGATGTGGTTTTTGACTACTCCAAAATGGCTGGGTTTTCCTAGTGGCTTCTTTTCAAGAACCACCCAAAGATGGGTACCCTCATGGAAAGAAAGACCCCAATGGGTATGGGACAAAATTAAACCACCATAAAACCGCAGGTTCTAGTGCTTATTTCCATTCGCCAGGGTTCCAATTTGTGTACCTATGTTCACCCACACCCAAATGGAACGCTGTCGAGTGACCTCCAGATGAGACTTGACCTCAAAGGACGCTGAAAGTTTGCCATGCGCTGCCCTGCCTGGTTGCCTACTTCACACGAAATTGAGATCCTTCTTACTGGCACCTGAAACTCCACCACCATGGACCGTTGCGCGTGTCAAATATGGGGACTTCCTTGTGAAATGGGCGGCGTTGGGGTTGGTGTCTCTTGCAAACTTCCATAGGCCAACTTGTACGGACAAGGCCCACAGAGTGCCTGACATCAAAACAAGCAGTTTGGGCAGCAGCGTGTTTGCGCAATATCAGCAGCACATTTCAAGAACCCTTGATCAATTTGGAATCCGGCTGTTGCGGCGAATGATCCATCAACAATGTACGGAACTCGCGCGTTGGGCTCGGTGCGCATTTCTCAAACGGGCTGGCAACATCAGCTGCATGATCGCCAATCCCACGTGACTTTCACATGGGTCTCAGGACGATCTTGAGCTCCTTGGCCTTTGCAAAGCAAGTATTGAGCCGTGATGTTGACAAATCTTTATCTCGGTTGCTTTCTGCTCCCCTGCGAAAAGCAACTCACTTTTAGTGGTTTAATACGGAAAACCCCCATGAGTTGGCAAAAAGTTGTTCAGTCCTAACATCCCTTGACAAACTGCACCAAGGTTATGAAACATGGAGCTGGAACATCAAGGCCTTCTCCCGCACTTAGGCATCGGCTTCCTGTCAGCATCGAAGCGGGCGAGCTCAATTTTGAAGTTCTCGATGTTCGTCACCTACGCAGCAAAACTGGGTGCTTCCCAAATGCTGACCTTTCGCTGTTTCACGGAAACCTGAACAAGTCACCGAAAACAAAGGCATACCTTTTTTTGAGGGTACCAATGGGTGTCTGCATTCCTCCGGTCTGGTTTCTTGCCCTTAAGACTCGTTTGGGGCTGTCTTGGTTGACCAAAAAGTCCTCACAAAACAATGATATTTCCCACATGGGCCAGGAAAGATTAACCCCCAAATGGGGTTATCTTTAAGATGCACGCAAGGGAAAAAAAAAAAAAAAAAAACGGACGAACGAATCCTTCGACTGCTTGCCCATGCCCGGGATGCTTCTAGACATGGACAATATTGGCATAAAGAAGCTTAGAAAGCCCCAACTTCTGGGATTGAAAGAGAACACTTTCCAGCCGACACAAATCTATCTCCACCCCAAAGGGGTCTCAGCCTGCTGCTCCACTTTGCCGGCAGTCAGCCTCAAATTCCACGCGTTCGAGCTGACTGGGGTCGTGGTTTGGTGGTTTTTAATGGGACATCAAAAGAACAGCCCAGCCATTTGGTGGTGTTTTGGTGGGTTTAAACGAAAACCCAAACAAGAACCCCAGCCATGTTGTGGGTCCAACAAAAGACGAGCTCTGGAAAATTCCTTTGGGGTCCGCAAACCCCATTTGGGTGTCCCCCAAAAGGCATTGGTTCAGTTCTCGGATTCTTGCAGTCCATGCCAGGCGACTCACTCCAAGTCGGGACCCCGAAGCTGGATTCCATGTTGCATAGAGTGTTTGGATCTTCAATGTTCTCGTACAATTGAGCCACAATCAAAGCGCGGCAAATTAAAATGGTCGTAATCCCAGAACCATGCTTCAAGATTTAAGAAGGCGGATATCCGCAGCTATTTATAGTGGGGATTGTCCCTTACTAACCTAACCATCTACCCGAATCGGTTTTCAGCAAGTGTCTCAATTGTTCAGTGTGGATTCCCCTTTGTGGCAATGGTTGGCCCATCTCATTCGCCCAAAGGGCCCAATTGGCCATTGCACACCAACTGAAATCAAGCGAGCACCTGAAACACTGGTAACACTCCCCAGAGAGGATCCTTGTCGGGCTCCTTTCTGGGCTGTCCTGCAAAGGTTTCACTTTTGGGGTTTAAATGGTGCCCCCCCACCAAACCAAAGAGGATCCAAAAGTCTAAGGAACCGGATGGCTGTGAGCCAAGGTTGTACGCCCGCTTGCCTTGAGGCAGATTGATGGCCAAAGGCGGGGGAAACTTTTGCGAAACTCGAAGCTTTTCGGAAGGCGGGGCTGGGGTCACCCCCATCGCCCCGGAACTCCAACTCCATTTTTGTTTTTTCAAGGTCAACTCTCCAAGTAGCTTTCGGGCACACCATCTTTTTTTTTGGGACGTGCGCCATTTTCTGCCTTTGAGCTCCAGGTGGGGACATGATGCCCTCTGAGCCCGAAACAACGAAAAATTCACGGTCCGTCTCTCGCTCCAGGTGGGGACATGATGCCCTCTGAGCCCGAAACAACGAAAAATTCACGGTCCGTCTCTCGAGACTGGCTCGAGGCGACGGGAAACCCCATCGAACTGGATTGGAAGCACTGAATACACAACTCACAAGTTTATGTGTATATATATATATGTGTAGCATATATATATATATACATATAAATAGATAAATATATATATATATATACATATATGGTCACCCCCCCAGTCTTTCAATTAGGAGGTTTTGCTAAGCCCAAGGCTTTAAATTGCTCATGTTGCGATGTGGCCAACAGTCAAAATTGCATGTCAGCAAGTTCTGCTAAAGCACCTGTTCAATACGCGATCGCTGTGTCAACTCTCCACTTTGTACAACTACTCCCTTGGCCCCTTGCAGAAGTGGCGAACCAAAAAACAAGAACATGCCCCTCGCTCCTGGACGCGTGAGCCTTTTGAGCGAAGATGCCCTGAAATCGGGAATCCCTTTCTGGATGTTTGGGGGGAGCACCAAACATAGGAAAGCCACGACGAGTTCCTTCAAAAACAACCTCCGCTCAGCTTCCTTCTGGGTGGTTTGAGTTGGTGGTTTGGTGGTTGAGGGGTGCTTCACGTTGACCCTCAACAAGAACCAGTCAAATCCCCAAACCAACCCAAACCACCAATTCGGAAGCTGATCCGGTCAGTATCCAAGACAAAATCCCCATTGCGGCGCTAATTTCATGGGCTCCGAGCATGAGTTCCGCGATCTGGCCGGACTTGACTTGCAGATCCTCCTGGCTGCCGAATCGATAAAACACCCCGCCAACATAACAGAGAGTCCGCAAAAGGAACTTGATCTACCATGGGAGAAGGGTACCCTTCCCCCCACCAACATACCTGGAAGATCGAATTTCGCTTGAAGGGATCCCCCTGTTATCGGGAAGGAGGGTCAGCGATTGAACTTTGAACCCGTGTCTCTCACTTCCTATGGTGATTGGGCAAATCAAGCGCGCACTTTCCGTCCACTAAAACCCTGCTTGCCAAG